GAAGTTGCAACAACAAGAGAAGAAATTGGGTTGGCCATTTTTATTGATTGGAATTTATAATGATCCAAGTTTGATAATTGATTGACTATAAAATCTAAAAATTAAAAAAACATACTCGTATGGGATTCCTTAAAACACAATCTTCTCAAACTGGGGGTTCATGGTGTAATGTGCATCTATTGTGGGGAACAATGACATGACAATGTTTGGGAACCTCTGTCCTGTGACATGTGATAAATGCATATAAATGGTAAATGAAACAAAGGAAGGAACCAGAGTCGACAATGTGTTGATTTCAGAGTTTGAAATCTCTTGCTCCGTATAGGTTTTGGAGAGGGCTGTACAACCGCTTTGACCGAGGGATGCATCCTCGACAGTCTGTGGAGGATTACCTGAGTGCCATCCAAGAGGAGACGCAGCAGCTGGAGGAGCAACTTGCTTCACACAAACAGGTAGGACTGAATTCATACTGCTCATTATTTCTCATCAGGAACTATTGTCATGTTTTATTTCCTGATTATAGAAGATGACTGTAGTCTTCATGTCTTAAATTATCAATAGAAAATTGCTCAACTGGAGCAGGAGCAAGGGTGGAGAAGTGTCACCCAGAAAGCAGTCGGCTTTGATAAGAGCCCCACAGCGTGGGCTCGCGGTAACGACCTCAGTCTGGCCAACACCCCGCAGGACTACACCGGGGGCTTCCTCACCAGCAGCCCCTGTCAGCCCAAAACGCCAGACAGCAGCCTGATACTATTGCCCAAGGACTTGAACCAAACATCTGAATCCAACCTCTCCAACGGCAGCGACCAGGAGTCGGGGATTGCAGACCTGAGCTGCCGTTCACCCCTCAGCGAGGACAGCACCAGGGATGCAGACTCCGATGAGGCTGCCTACTCAGCTGCCTGAACAAGTGTAGCATCTGGTGGAAGGTGCAGCACCGACCAGCCTTCCATGGGGCCACTGAACAAACACTTCCTTTTACATTCACCAAGTAACCCGACTATTGGCTAACGTCAGGGAAAGGTCTTATTTGGGGTTACACAATTGACTTGCACTTTTGTTTGCATGTAGTGTGGCAGACTCTCCCTGTTGCCACATACATACTAGTAGCTGTTCACTGTAGCTGACCACATTTTACTCCTTACCATGGTGAAAGAAATTTAAGATGAGCAGATTATTGTCTGTTGATGGCAGAATGAAACCATAAGAGTGTACACAGAGAGAGTTTAAACATAGTTAAATGCTTCCAGGGAGACATTTTATCCCCGATTGTATTGAGATATGCACGTATAAAGAAAGTGTCATCTTATAAAATTAAGCTGCCATTTAGCTGTGTATGCTTGCTTTTTACTATCGTCTTCCATGTACTTAGTTTATTAATTAGGTATTTGGCTTAACAATGGGAACAGGACATGAAATAGTCAGCAGCACTTTGATATTGCATTTATAAAGCAACATGAAACAATTAACAGAGCTCCAAAGAGACAAAACCATTATTTTAGGTGCATTGATATTAAAGACTGTTAATTATTTAACAAATTGGAACAGAATTAAACAGATCAAATAATGACAACAAATAGAAAAACAGCTCATTGAAGCTCATGGAGGATATGACAAATGTGTACAGATTATAGGCTGTCAACACGTGCTGCTAAACGTAACTCAGAATGACTCATCTTTGTAGCAGTGTTAGCAAACATTTATCTCTGCAAGTCCTTTTTCCATAAAGTATTTTGGTCGTTTTGTCTATTATCTGTTTTTAAATGCTGTCGCACCTTATGGTCGCTTTTACTCACAGGCAGTCTGGATTAAAGATTTCAGTCTGGCCTGGAAAGAGCAGCAGTGATCCTGTGGTTCAAATGGAAATGTAGCAGTGTTTCTACCCCTACGGACATGTTGTGACTGTACTAGACTCACTCAGCACGCCATAGTGACCTCAGCTGGGTTTTTGGAGTCATTACACTACAAAAACCAGTGATTTAAATGTGGTTGCCGCCTGTATTTCAACTGGATACACAATATCATGGGATATTTCCACTGCAAGATGTGAATAATAAGCGTTCACAGGGAAACAGTATACATTTCTGTCCACAATATTTCAATCCAAAGTTATTTTACAAAAGGGAATCTGCTGTCTGCTGGTATAAAGTGAGTAAATAATATGGCTACTGAGCACTGAACCAGCAGAGGGGAACATGTGAACACAAATATACCGACTGACCTTACAGGATATCGTAGTATTTGTGCCATCTTGACTGTAAAATTAAAACTGCTGACTTTATTAGTGTAGTACACATTAGGCGCACTCCAATACCGCAACTGGACAATGCAGAGTTATCGAGAAAAGCATGTTAAGATATTTTTGTACTATGACCTTTTTTTTTTTTCGTTGACTGCTTTAATGCATGTTTTTATTTGTGTCCAGCCATAATGAATTCAGATCTTGTATGAAAGAAAGAGCTTTGTTTGTTCAGGTGGAATAAGAGCCAAATTTGTCAAACTGTAAAGTTGTGTAATTTGTGTTTTCTTTTGAAATAAATAAATAAATTATTGTCGATCATATTGTCAAAATAATTCTTGGTTGTGTTCTTCCCTGACCTTTTTTTAAAGGGTATATCCACCCAAAACTGTGGGTAGATTTGGTTTTATTTGCCCAGGGTTTTAATGTCTGGATATAATAGTTTTCATAGGGATTACTAGGACTGACAGTGTGATCTGTGGATTCAGAATCAGAATCACTTTTATTGACCAGGTATGTGTGCACATACAAGGAATTTGACTCTGGTTTTACATTGATTAACATCATAAATAAACAGAACATGTTCAACAAAAAAGACAGTACTAATATGTACAGTTATACACAAATATATATATATATAAACAAACATTTGTAGACAGTAAACAATAGTGCAATGGTGCAGAGTGCAAGTTTCAGGTGCTGAAATAAATATTCTACGTGCAGGTATCTGTATGTAGATGGGGGTAGGTGGATGTATTAGAATAGAAAGAAACTGAATTTTGGGAAAAAGAAGTAATAAATGGTGTTAATGTACATTCATTATTATATATAATTGTGTTGGGGTGTAGGCAGAAATTTCAGAGACTAATAAGTTGATTTCTGGACAATATGAGGGATAAGTGAGAAATTATGTGTTGTTGTTTTTTGTAATTTGAGTGAACTAACCCTTTAAGAATGTTATCATTCGCAGACTCGGTTTACAATATGCAAAATCTAGGGTTATTCTAGGTTTTGTGTATTAAATTCCTCTAAACAGCTAATAAGCTGCACAGTTTGTCTTTCTTGAGAATATTTACTCGAACCAGTAGGACTGAAACGCAGCTGTGTCTCACTCCTGGTTCCCCTTTTTCACAATATAAAAGCCTTTATGCAAGAAATGTGCAACTTTGTTAAACAATGTAGTAGTAAAAAATAAAACAGCTAAATTAGGGTAAGGAAAAATGTGTTATAGTGTATGTATAATAGAAAATAAGAACATTTATGAGGATCTTTTTAAAAGTTAAACCGTTACTCTTGATCAATTCTTAAATTAAATTGTTTATTTAAACATAAATTTGAAATGTAACCCTATTCCTCTCTCAGTGAACAAATGTTTTCTTTTCTAGTTATTGAAGCAGGTGCATGAACAAATCCAGCTTTTTAAATGTTACTTAAATAAATATTACTTACTATAATAAATAAAATAATAAATATTTTTTTTTAAGCTTTACTGTCACTTTTAACTGACATAAGTCCAAAAGTATAGTACATCAAGGCATCGTAATAAAAAAGAATAATATAACAGAATATGGCTCCAGCAGGACAGGCTTCAGGTTAAATATATACACAGAACAAACAATATAATAAATAATAAAAATAATAATGGTAATAAAAAATAAATAAATACAGGAAGGCAATAATTAAATTAAACAATGTTATTAAATTATGTTATTTATATAGCACATTTAAAACAACCAGAATTTACCAAAGTGCTGAACAAATTAAAGTGTTCGGCACATAACAGCAATACAGGACAATACAATTAAATATTCATATATTATATATAATATATAACAAATATGTGCACACATTTAAAAACAGAGACATAACAAGATTTGATCAATTATTAAAGAAGTAACTTAACAGAATAATAGGCAATAAGGTAACACTCATATTTCCATAAACAATTCTTGTAGCATGCTAACTATATAGACACATTTCTATATAGATTCGATAGAAGTACTTTCTAAATTAAATTTTAAAAGGTTCAAAGGAACTAATAAAATAAATAAGATTAATGAGTTGACAATCCCTGAATTTTTTGTTTTTTATTTTCATAATAAAGTATTAATGGCTTCTAGTTTAATTGAAAGGTTGGTTTGAGACACAAAATAATCCTCTTTTTCCCAGAATCCTGATGTGTACTAACAAAGAATAGATTTATGTTATGTATCATTGATATCCACAAATATTGACACAAATCTGTTGGTTTTGGGTAAATCTCATGCACAGTTTTGTAATCTTTCAATTTTGAACATATTTAATTTAAACATTTAAACATACATTTGAAATGTGAACAAATTCCACTTTAAATGTTCCTTTTATGTTATTTTTATGAACAAATAAGATAGGAAATAATACTTTTTTTATATTTTATTGTCACTTTTAACAGACATTAGTCAAAAAGTATATTACATTAAGGCACCACAGTGAAAAAAGGGATAATATAACAGAACAAGGCTCCACTTTCAGCTGTATTTTGGCTTCTAGTTTTACTTGAACGGTTGGTTTGAGAAATAAAATGTATATTTATATATATATTTTTTTTTTACAGAATCCTGACAAAGAATAAACGTTTTATTTTTCCATATTGTATTTTTTTTTATATAATACTGACACAAATGTGTTGATTTCGGGGGGGATACATCTTAATCACATCACCTCCTTTCCCCTTTTTCTTGACGAACGAACGGGAACGTACATGCCTTACGCACATGACGTCTCCTGCCCTACGTGATGACGTCGCGTCGCAGGCTCAGCTATGATGGCAGCCGTAGGTTGACATCGATACATTACTGAATATAAACTATTTAAAAGTTAGCGGCAGGAAAGCAAAACAACAACAACAACAACAACAAAACAAATCCCGACACACTAACGTAGAACAAACCAACAGTTGTTCAGATAGTAACGTTACACACTTAAAAAACACACACACACACACACACACACACACACCGCCTGGTTTGGGGGAACGGTAAGTTCACGAGGCTACAGTGAGCTTTTTATTATTTTTATTTTTATTTTTTTAATGCGTTATCAAAGTGGCCGCCGAGTGTGTGTGTGTGTGTGTGTGTTTGTGTGTTTATGTGTGTGTGTTTTCATGTCTTGCACACACTTTTATTCGCCCGTCGAGCGAGCTTTCTGCCCGAGAAGTGTTCCTTTCCTCCCCGACAGCCTCCCAACTTGTCCTGCTCCATGTTAGCTGCCCTTGTAGCCTTGCTGCTAACTGCTACAGGTAAACCTAGCTAGCCCTCCCTTTTCCCACACCACCACCAAAACCTCCCCTCCTCCTCCTCTCCTCCCCCCCTTCCTCCCCAACAACAACAACAACAACAAAATAAAAAAAATACAAACAAAGTGCTGCTGGAAACCTCCCCTGCGACGAGCTAATGTGAACAGCCAAGCCAAGCCCTGTATGTCTTTATCATAACCTTATAACAGCTGCTGTCTCCCCCTCCCTCCCCTCCTCCTCCTCCACCTCCTCCACCTCTACATGTGCGTCTGTATTCATGCAAAGGTTTGTTCATTTCAGCCTTAACATCTGAGATTGCATTTGCTTCCCCTTCAGAAACAATGAGACTTGCATTGGGGTCTTTTGTGCCAGAGCAGGTTGCATGTCCTGCAGTTAATGTGTTGATAAGCCAGAATGGTTTGTGAGTGTTTCTTGGGTATCTGTGCTATCTTCCACCTCTTCTTATTAGGTCTGTGACAGGTCAAGCAGGGTTGCTGTATGACTCTCTTTTGAAGCGTTTGTTCTGTGTTTTGTCTTTTGCATGAAGCGGCACTATGCCCGCAGCCACTGTGGATCACAGCCAAAAAATATGTGAGGTTTGGGCCAACAACCTGGAGGAGGAGCTGAAGAGGATCCGACATGTCATTCGTAAATACAACTACATCGCTATGGTGAGTGATGCTCAAAAGACCCCCCCAAAAAAAAGCTTTAAAAAAAAAAAACTGTCCCGACGTAAGCAGGTTTTCGTTGTGCATAGTGAGTCGTCTGTCTTCTTGCAGGACACCGAGTTTCCCGGTGTAGTAGCCAGACCGATCGGAGAGTTCAGGAGCAACGCCGACTATCAGTACCAGTTACTGCGCTGCAATGTGGACTTGCTCAAGATAATCCAGCTGGGCCTCACGTTTATGAACGAGCAAGGAGAATACCCTCCGGGGACATCGACGTGGCAGTTCAATTTTAAGTTTAACCTCACGTAAGACAGCTTTTTTTTTTGTCTCTTGTTGCGTTTGAATGCATCCGTGGCACCGATTTATGCCAGTCAACAGAAAACTGATGGTTTCGTTAACACAGATCTGAATGCAACATCCACTCGTGTCTGTTTAGATCTGTCTTGAAATAGTCACACATTACTGATATCATTGTTGAACTGGAATGCACTGATATCATCATACAAAGGTACTCAGCAGGCTGCTTCCTTAAACAATAACTTTATTAATGTTTACATGTTAAATAACTTAACATAAACACTGTGAACCAAGTCTCTTTGACACTCCTGAGAGCTTCTCTCTAATTCTGTGCTGCTTACGACCGTGTTGTAAATCGCGATGTAATCTGCAGTTAACACCAATGCAACACCACAAGCAACTTTTTCTACATCCTATACCGGGAACGTTGGAATATCGGCACATAACGGACAACATATACGCTGCGATAAGGATACTGATGTGTCTGCGATCTCTTAATTTGTCCACCTTAGTGGTTGTACTAGCTAATGTAGGAGTGTCTCAGCTAGATGTGAGAATGTAGTGTTCATACTGTGTTGCTCATACTTGCCCTGTCAAAATGCAGATTATTTTTTTATAATCAAAACAGTTCGGTTACGGCTCTCAAACCTACTTGACTGTCTTCTGTGGTTGAAATAATAACAGTGTTTTTCGGTCTTTGTCATCAGAGAAGATATGTACGCACAGGACTCCATCGAGCTCCTGACCACTTCAGGGATTCAGTTCAAGAAGCACGAGGACGAAGGCATCGAGACTCTGTACTTTGCAGAGCTGCTGATGACATCGGGAGTGGTGCTTTGCGATGGGGTCAAGTGGCTGTCGTTTCACAGGTATGAGGCTGTTTTTGAGTACAGGCAGATTTAAGTTGTGGCAGCTTTACTGTAGACAGCTCTTTGGAGAATATTGGAAGATTTACAGATATCACAAAGTGTCACAGGCGTAACATTGACAACAAACAAGCACTCATCAGTAACATTTTGTGTTAGTTTTTGTTATCATTTGCTCACCATAATATATATACAATATATATAATACACAGTATCTCTTATCCAATGCCCACCTCACATACTATCAGCATATTTCTCAATGTATGTTATATCTTTTCATGTCTGCACACAGACAATCCTCTTGTGTTCAAATGTTTACTAATGATGTTTGCTGTGGCATTTCAGAAGGAAAAGTGTTTTAATTTTGATTTGATTTTTTATTTTTTTGTCTTTTAGTGAGAGGTAAGATGTTACGCAGAACTGTGATCGTTTTGCCTACAAACATGTTAAAAACAAGAAAATATCCTGTTAAAAATTTGCTATTTAAAAAAAACTGCTGCTCAAGTGTATTGAACACTTGTTTTGTTATATTGGTCTGTAATGACGAAGCGACTTCTCGACGGTATTTTCTACACTCTGCTGCTTAACATCTTCATTTCGTACTCAGTTTCCCACTGTGTCTCCATGGCAAACTGAGGCTAAAGGTAACCAGGCTTTGGAAAATAAACAAAGCTTAGGTTTGAAACGCCACTGTCATCTCTTTCAGGTATTTAGAACACACCTTTACCAACAGGCTTTAATGTTATGATGTTTTTAATTTATATTCTTTGTTGTTTTTGTCATCGGATTTCTTTAATTTAGTTTTTTTTTTTTTCTTGTGAATTTGGTGTTTATCTTATTGGATACTTGATCTATCTTATCCATCCTTTCTCAGTTCCTATTAGTCATTAACAGGATATTTTTTGGATAATGACTTTGTGTAGTTAATCCTTGCATGTGTAGTTGTCTTGTACACTTGACATAAGGGCAAGCAGGTACAGACAAAAAACATCTTGTCTTTAATTATCTTTGCTTCGTGACAGATTGGAAGTGACAGAATCTCTCGAAGCCTCCGACTGTGTGCTCTTTAAAAACGAAAGCTGTGCCTGTGTTTGTGTGTATGTGTTCTTGCAGCGGCTATGACTTTGGATACCTGATCAAGATTCTGTCCAACGCAAACCTGCCCGAGGAGGAGGTGGACTTCTTTGAGATTCTTCGCTTATACTTTCCAGTCATTTACGATGTGAAGTACCTCATGAAGAGCTGTAAAAACCTGAAGGTATTTAAAGAAATGTTTCAGCAGGTTTCACAGAGTATCTTCTGTTTTATTCATTTAAAGCTAAACAACTTTGTGTTCTGTTGTGATCTCTTGTGAGTATGACGCTCAGGTTTTATCTGACTAGAAACTTGGATCTTAAGTGGTTGTTTTGGTTTTCAGGGCGGGCTGCAGGAAGTAGCTGAGCAACTGGAGCTGGAGAGGATCGGACCACAGCATCAGGCCGGCTCTGACTCTTTACTCACAGGCATGGCTTTCTTCAAGATGAGAGAGGTAGGGTAGGGGGGTGTTTCTTCAGCTCCTTACAGACATATATCTCTTTACGTTAATCTGATAGCACTTTAACGTGCAGGTCTCATGTCTGAATAAGCACCGAGGTCACATTTAAGTAAAAAAAAACGATAATCTTCACTAGGTCTGACCTGGTATCATTAATGTATCACTATCAAAGTGGCACAAGTGTGAATTGAATGCTGTCAGATTAACATAAAGCTGCAGCAGTGCAAGCTAAAAAATGCAGAGAGAGAGAGAGAGAAATGTCTCGTACCGCCTACTATGATCACCTTAACTTATTATCGCAGTCATCATTTCTTATGGGCTGAATCATTTTAATAAAGAGTTAAAGAGCCAATTGAAAATAAGGGGATTCTTCACATATCAGGTCAGTTAATAAAAAAGTATTTTCTTCTCAAGGTGCGAGCGGGGAAACATAAATTAAGAAAAACAAACCTCGTACAAACAGTAGCAGGGTTCCCACGCTTCTTGGAAAACCTGGAAATTTAGAGACTAGTTTTCCAGTCATGGAAACACCTGGAATTAAAATGACCAAAAACCCCGGAAATAATCTATGCTGTCCTGGAAATATTTTATGGTATTTTAACTCCTCACTTGCCAAATTTTCTGTAAAACAAGATAAATTCTACTTGATTTGAATGGTTACTTCTGGGCTGTGGCCATAATGTTAATAGGAAAACTAAAGTAAACTGTAGCCAGTTCACTGGAGACCGCAGCAGAAATATCGGCGGTGGTCAGAACAGCCAAGCGTAACAAAAGTGAGCTAACACGGAGTGTCCCACATAAAAACACTGATCACCTTCCTCTAATAAACCTAAGACACTTACCATGAACTCTGCATCGTTAAAAAGAAGTCAATACTAGACAACCAGTAAACTATATGACCTGGAAAATTTCCTAGAAGATAAAAAGAGTGAGAATCATATATTTTCAGTGTTTGCACATCTGCATGAATAAATGAATATACAGCAAAATGGTTTTCATACCATACAGCCTGTGAGCAAATAGGAGCTAAATGAGAGTCCCAAATTAATCTCCTGTCAGTCAGTGCTTGTGCACAGACGGATATTATGAAACAGGGACCAGAATTCACTCCCTAATAACATTTAAATAATGAAATTGATGTGAAAGTGTATCAGTGGATTCAATATTGGAAGCTGGGACGAGCGTCCTTAATGCTCTCAGCAGTCATTAATTTAAACTTCAACAGCAAAATCATTTTAACAATCAGTTAACCGGTGATGCTCCCTGAGAGGACAGAAAACATTCTTCTTTTGATTTACAGCTCGCTCTCTCTCTCTCTCTCTCTCACTCTCTCACTCTATTCGATATTAGTCAACTTTGTCCTGGAAATCTGTGTGTGCTGCTACCTTTTCTATGATGACTATGATGCCTTTTAATAATATGACATTAAATTAACGTGTAAGTGTCTGCCTTCTTTATTTGTCCCCACAGATGTTCTTTGAGGATCATATCGATGATGCAAAGTACTGTGGTCACTTGTACGGGCTGGGCTCCGGCTCGGCCTACGTCCAGAACGGAACGGGGAACGCTTACGAAGAGGAGGCTAACAAGCAGCAGTCGTGACATCGCTCTGAAACTCTCCCATCCTGCGGTTCAACGTGCACTATCAGTGCGGCACTGAAGCCAAGCTTCGCCAACCGGCTGATGATGATAATAATAATGGAAGAACACAAACATACACACATCATTTAGCAAGCTGCTTCTCATAGGCTCTTCTCACCTTAGATGACTGAACATGATGGTAAAAAAAGAAAAAGAAATCACAGCTGTCCTTAAACATGTTCCTGTTGGCTGCGTGTGAGTTTAGTCTTTTATTCCTACAATGCAGTTTAGGCAGCCTGGTTGGATCAGTTCAATTTAACATGCTTGAAAATATGGGATTTTAGTTTTCCTAAAATGTTCTGTAGAAAATGTTTTGCACTTTAAAGCTCTAACCTGATTTTATATGGAAAGCTGAACATGTTTCTGGTGTCTCTCCTCTTTGTTGCCTTTCTCTACGTTCCCGTTTTACATTTTTTGAACATGCACAACCGCCCTCACCACGCTCAGCCTTACTATTAGCTGCATTCTTACCTTTTAAACTTTAATTTATTGTGCTGGTTATCTGACAGTGAATGGACACCCAGTTGAAGGAATAAGACACCACATGTTAGTGCGCTCGCCCTCTTGTCATCCGATCTCTCGTATGATAATGAGAAAGGGATCTCTCAGTGAGTCTGTTTACGTGCACATGAATATCTCATTGAAGTTTTTTGTTTTTTCTCATGTGTTCATATAAAGATAATGTTTATTACGACATGAATAAGATCTAATCCCACTGTGAGATGCCTTTTAACTAACAAGCTGGTGTATTCTGCTTATATAGATGGGACTAAAACAAGTGACCATTTCCTCTTTCCTATTCGTTGCCGTTTCCCGTTTTTGAACTCATGATAATGCTCCAGGTAGTCGCGATATATACAGTACGTACTACACGCATACGTTCGTAGGAAGACTGTGGATTGTTTGTGCATGTAAACACCCTCAACGACACAAGCATACACGAACACAGATGCATCACATCTCTACATGACCTCGCGTTGATTTCAACTAAATTCACCAGACCTTAAAGAAACAATTAAAAAGTATCTAACAAAAACAAAACACTCGCCTGCTGTAAGACATGCCGAGGTTGCCCTAAACTACTCTCTTGAGAGTAAATGTTCATTTTTAATTGAAATTAAGGTTTTGTAGAGTTTTAGTGTTGTAATAAAAGAAGAAAAAACTTTTACTTGTTGGGGGGAAAAAAATAAATAACGTTGCCTTTTAATATGCATCTTTTTTTGTTCCAGTGGAGCTTCAATTCACTTTTTCTGGCCTTTCGAATGACTATTTTTTGTTTTTGTATTGCTCTCCAGTTCATTCATGCCGCCTAGAACAGCCGCATGTACTAAAACGTTTGAATAAATGCCGTGTTGTTGAATAGTATCCTGAACTTCCGTAGGTGTGTGTTGAAGTGTAGGTTCACCACTTATTAACCTCCCTCAGCGTCGATAACTGAAACGCTTTTCTTTCTTTCTGCAGCACATCTTCCACACTGTAAAGGAGTAAAAAAAGAAAAAGAATATGCAATATATAAGAGGATTGTTTTTAGATTATTTTGTAAATAAAGGCTTGAAAACTTTTCTACCATAAAATGCTCTTTTACATCTCTTTATTGACTCACAGCTCTTCTCAACGTGCAACAACGAGTTGAATAAAGAGGCTGAAGATGAGCTCGTTTTATTCTTATAAGGCATCACAACTGTACAGTACATTACCTCACACATCCATATTGTCTCTTGAGTCATACAGGCAGAAGAATAGAAAAATATAGATTGACACTGACTGTTACCATGGAGCTTTTTTTTTTTTTAAACAGGCATACATTCTTCCATCTAATTTAAAGTGATATTTTATTTCCAGCCAGAGACGAGAACAGACAGAATCCTCAGAAGGTGAAAATATACTGTACAAAGCGACTGGAGCTGTTTTCTGTTTAGTTTTTTTTTGTTTGTTTTTTGCTCTGCAGTGCATCCACAGCATCGTGTTGTGAGTTAGAAAAACACTCAACAGTATCTGCTTTTTTTTAGATGGTGAACAGATCTGCAGCATTACACAGAGGCTGGTGTGCCGGCCCTCCAGAGACAGTCGGAAAGCTTTTTTTGGCCGGCAGTTTGACTGTATGCTACCAGACAGCAGTTTAGATATTTGGCAGAGGTGGTGGGGGGGCACACGCTGTCGCAGCACAGAGCAGCACCAGCTCTCAGGTGTTTCAGTGTGACAGCAATATCCTCACTCATGCTATAACGAGTCAGAAGAGCCCTTATTCAGATTACTAATTAATACACTTTTTTTTTTTTGTTGTTGTTGTTTCCAAGCAAAAGGGGAGAACATCATCTTGTGGTACAGTTCACTACAACAAAGTGTGTTTGTGTTGACATCCTGAGATGAGAGCATGCATCATTTGAACTTCCACAACATGGTGGGAAAGAAAAACAAAAAAACCCAAAAAACTTCACTAAAAAAAGAAAAATGGCTAAAGGAATATCAGTTTTTATCAGTTACATCACATTAACACCACTACTAATCTATACTTAGTGTGAAAACATTTGGCAAACTCATGATAGCCGTTACTTTATGTGCTAAGCTATGAAAATAACATAAAACAAATAAACCTGTGATAATTCTACTGTAGCATACAAAAGCAGCTCAGATTGATCCTCCTAGTGTACAAAGTGCAAAATCATCTCTTCCATTGCTGCTCTGTGCTTATTCATATACAAACAAAATAAAATAGTGATAGTTGGAATGCAATATTAACTTCAATCCACTTGTTCTGAAGCCCAAAATACTTTCAGATAGCAGCAGGAATTGTTGCTTATAACAATAACAGTAATACTGATGATTGTTTTTTTTTCTCTGGTTTCATATGCGACACCAGTGATGTAAACCTCTCAGAAGCAGGGTGCAGTATGGAGAACAACAAATACCGATGGAGTCACCACCACGTCACGTTCTGATAGGCACAAACACCGAAGAGGGGGCAGCATAGACCTGTTGGGTGAACACACATATAGTTAATGGATATTGATTTTATTATGGTATTTATTTTATTCTGTTGTAACACTTTATAATAAGGGTACAAATCATAAACTCGACCTGGCTTGACTTCATGACCTTTTTCCTTAAAGGATCAATTTTCTATCATCGAGTAAACTGACGAACCTTGAATAAGTATTGTATCTTATGGATATTTTAAATTATACTTAATACATAACAATAACAGTACAGACCAACTCATAAACTGTACAATGAACACAAAAAGCGAAGACATAACAACAGGAAGTTTGTGTAAAACAAGCCATTTAGATGAATTTTGGGCAGATTATTTCCTGTAAATATTGCCTCTGAGATGAGTTTTACTGATATTTAATTTAATTCTCTGTCTGTATTATGTATATTCTTTATTTTTAAACAATCATGCATACTTAATAGGCTCCTTTTTTTTTTCAAATTCAGTGTTTTCATTTTTATATCTTGGTTGTTTGAACTTTTCTAAAGCAGGACGAGGTTGTGAATATAATTATCCTGTTTATATCTTAAATAATTATCTAAACTTTGAAAAAAACTTGTTTCATTTAGTTTTCTTCAAATAAATAAATTAAATTTTGTAATGTAGACCTTCTGTATATATATTTTTATATTTTTTACCTACGCCCCTTAAAATCAAGAAGGCTATGCGACCCCACATGAAGCACTGGCGACCTCTAGTGGGAAACCACTGATTTAATGCATGATTTAAGGCGGGATGAATTCCTGTTGCTCACTATTAACAGATGATAAGTTAGGGGATGTTAATTCAAATCCGTCTAATTGATTACATATTAATTTAAGTATGAGTTAACATTCCCTAACTGATGATCTATCAATTGGACAACAGGAATTTATAATACAGCCTTAATTAATTAATGCATTTAATCATTGTGAGTCAAGCATTAGTTAAGTTATATTTAAATATATTATTTGTATTCTTATTAGAAAGTGTGACCGATTTCATAAATTATTATACATAAAAATAATTAATGACAAAGTGCTTTACAAGACAATAATATAATAAAATGGTGGACAAACAATTGTAAAAAATAACAATTATAATTATTATAAGATTATAAAAGTTATACAGTATGAACAAAAGGAGGTACACATGAGAAAGAGTACAATAAGTCAAATATAAAAATATATAATAATTAAAATAAGACTTTAAAGTCTTTGTGGGTTTTAAGAAGTGACTCAACAGCTAAAACAGAGTTCAGACTTGTAAAATGAGTTTTTGAGAGGGTGTAAAGTTACTTTTCTGGGTTGAAGGTTTCACCTTTATCTCCAACTCTGGTTACGCCTCATTCTCTATGGTCATCCCTGGGTTGCTGGCACCTGCACACACACACACACACACACACACACACACACACACACACACACACACACACACACACACACACACACACACACACAGGTGGAATAAAATCCATCATTTAAGTCATTAAACATACATTTTAACCCACAATCATTTGTTTTTGGAGGGTTATGTACAGGCAAGAAACCCTAAATCTTAAGGAATATAACATTATCTCACCCTTCTTTTCTTTCTCCGTTGCACTGTCACTCTCTGTCCAGGAGGGGGTGCTAGTGAGCAGCCGACTCTGAGACTCCCTCAGTGGCTTGGAGGGGAACTGGCGGCCCTCTGCTGCACTGGAAACACACAGGAGCAGGGATGAACACAGGAATCATGGACTCACTGAGGAATATATCTGGGTCTTTAAATGAAATGGTCCTAAACCCTGTAACCCTGTGATCTGAATGGTTCATTTAAAAACAGCACAGTGATTTTGCTGCATCATTAAACCTAAAGGGTTAATAAACCAGCAGGTGCTGACTGGCAGTTGTGCAGACTCTTGTTTCTGTTGCACCTGGCTTCACTTTTTATAGATGTGTGTGTGTTCTTCATATTTTTACTCACCCCTTGTTGGCAGGGTTGGAGCCAGTGGGAGATGAGGGCTGCTCGGGATCCAGATTCACCAGACATGTTGGGAACGAGCAACCGTCCCCTAAACTGATAATAAAACAGCAGAAAACACAGTTGAATGAACAGCTTGACATTTAAATAACTAGCTGGTTATAAATCTGCTCAATTGTGGTGACATGATACACATAAATAGAATTATATGTGGTGTATTTTATGTGAAAATGATGGATAATAAATTTGACCTCTCAAATTGGGGGTCCGTGGTTTAATGTGAATCTACTGTGCAACTGTGTTTGTGTATTACAGCAGGGTTTAGTTTACAGAATAAATAGATGCATAGTAACCAGTTGTTGCAAATACTGGAACAAAATGGGCTTCTGTAACCAATTACAACTGAATTGATCCCTCACAACGACAATATTTAGTTTATACATTCAAAAATGTAAAAGCTTAGGGGGGTTTTTTGTTTTCATAATTTGACTGTGATTGCCAAAAAGCTGTGTATCCATAATATTATTCATCTTTCAGCATGAATTACTAATTTTGCAAAGCTGGAGCATCTGCATGAATTCACAGTGGTGATGTTGTTGTTTACTGAAGCTGATGCTCCCTTGTGTCCTTTGAGACTTTTCCCTCTTTTGAAGCATTTTGTTTCAAACTAAGTGACACTAATCCTCTTCTCTGACACGAGATTATCTGAAGTACACAAGCATCTTTTGAAGAGAATGTGTGTGTGTGTGTGTGTGTGTGTGTGTGTGTGTGTGTGTGTGTGTGTGGCACAGTGATGCTAACTTTATAATTAATATGAAAACTCATTGTCCTTGTTATAGTTATAGATGCAAGGGGAGTAAATGGGGAATTTAAAACACTCCAGTATTACGTTTTAATACCATATTCTATATACCATATATAACCTATATATAACTGTACATGTCATCACAACAACCTTATGTACAATAATCGAAGAATTTGTTTAAATCTATGTGAAGATTAAAATTTGTGAGGTGAAAAATGAATCAATTGTGGTATCAAGGTGCAACCAAAATGGTTGTTTAAGGGGGAAGAATTCACTAATTACTGATATGGCGGCAGATATAGTGATTTTTTAAATCATCACATATACACCGATACCGACACAATACTGAGTTTTTCAATCACATTTACAAAAAAACATGAGAAAATGGTAACTTGAAATGTATTGAATCATGAAACATTATAATAACTCATAAACTGTACATATGAACATATGAACATTTTGTAAAGCAGAAACGTTTTTACTAAACCAAATACACCTCACATTTCTTTGATATCATTTTGTATATATTACATTTTATGCCTTTATTAAAGCTGGCAGTAGAGAGATAATGCTCTTTACGTCATGTTTAGACACACGATAACCAGGTTTCAGCCAGCAACTTCTCAACATTTCAGCGGGTTATAAGTTGGATCAAATTTTTTGTGTTCGCCCCACTGCAGAGCTGTGGAGCCTGAAGTCTTTGACCTGATTGTCCTTCAGTCTAGACTCAGAATTGCAGGTCACCGGGCTCCTAGAGTGTCAAACAACCTAGCAGGGGAAGCTGTAAATAATTTCTTAACACAGACTTGCTTTATTGGATTTGTTTCTTTCTCCCTCCTTCAGTCTTAGATGATTTTCTTTTGAATGCCTTTGATAAAAAGCCCATAAGAACTTACCTGGAGAAAACAGGAATGGGCCAGTATTTCACTTCATCACCAAAGACCTGGCGGAAGTTCTTACTGAAGCCCAGACTGAAACCGTTCTTGTCTGTACCGTGGCGAAATACTGGAGAACGCACAGCCTCTGAGAGGACACACATGGAGACGAAGAGTCAGCCTGACATGAAGATAAATAAATACAGCGCTCCCTCTCAGTCTTTATATAATCTGTTACTCAGGCTATTAACAGGAGCTCATTCAGACAACACATCAACACATTGCTGCTGAATGGCTGCATCAATGGAGCAACTCTGAATGAAAGTCTCTTTGTTATAGAGGAAAAGCAGATCTCAGACTGTTACACCATGTGTGACTTTTCTTCCTAGCAGTGTCTGTTACTAAGCTCCTTACTGCTCTGAGCCTTGTGTCTTTGCATTACACTGTAACATACTCCTCTGGATAATCCACCCTCCTCAACACACAGACAAAGTGTGCCACTGTGCACACATAATGAGAAACCGCTCCGTCTGATAACAGCACAGAGAAGCTCATCAAATCACTGCGCTGATGAGGACGGTGACTGAAGGTGGGAAAAATGCAATGAAACATTCTTCATCATTAGTGCAAAGATGACACTGTGCAAAGCAGACTGAGAGCGGATACTCACCGCGCACCAAAGATGAGTGAGCTGCTGTCTGACAGAGGCTCTATAATTACTGCATCCACAAACAGAACAAACACACGCACACATGCAGACATGAAGTATGCGCCACCTACCCAGAGTGGATCGGTTCTTGCAGACGAGCCAGCAGTGGTAGATGAAAAGCGAAGCCAGGCTGACTGAAAACATGGAGGCCGAGAAGAAGAGGAACAGGATGTGGAACTTCGCCTGAGTGTCTGGGAGTCCGTTCTGGGAGGAAAACAACAACAAAAGCAATCAGAACAACTGCATGAAAAGAGAGAGGACACTACGACTCTGAGTGGGATCTGAGAGATTTCTACTCAAGTATTCTAGGGGAGCTTTTTAAACTGTTCCTACTGCAGTGCCACTAACTAGCTGGTTAACTCATACCAGGTATTCTCTCAGACGGAAATGGGCTCTACCTCCAGCCTTGTGGGGGGGAAAAAATCAAACATATTTAACACAGAATGCTTGTTTTCACATGTCCATTCAGATTTGATTGAGTTATGTTGTGCTAATCCAACATTCCCTAAAGACGAAAATCCATAATATAATGTTTCATGCTGTGGCTGAACAAGCCACACTTACCGTCCAAAATTTAATGAAGTATTGAAGATCTGTAGCAGTTATAAAAAGGCAGTAGAGTAGCGAGTACGCCAAGAACAGCATGAAGAACTTGTAGTTGGAGAATCCCACACAGTTGTTCACCCTGCAACAAGAATGAAAGGACACAGGTCAGTGTGGGAAAATGTTATAATTAGTACATTTTCAAATCTTTTCTAAATGCAGAGACAGGACTTGAAGCAGGAGTTATAGGATGCCACAAAAACCCTACACACTGTAATTTAAGCAGAAGAGCAGTACATATTGGGGGTGAGCTGTTACAGTAAAATGTGTGCAGTCATTTTGTTTTTGTACTAATGTTTTGTGGATGTGCACACAACTATTCTTTAACTTTACGGCCTGTTTACCTGAAAAACGGGTAAATTCATCACAACTGGTTAGCAGAACATCACAAGAAATTCAATTCAATCAGCAGGGGTTTTTTTCCATGTGAGTTAGAGGACCAATCAGGGACCAGTACTGTACATTACATTTTGTCTAAGACGGCTATGTTCACACCAGGCATGTTTGGAGAGCATTGCAGAAAACAACTGGATGCTTTTGCTTTATGATCCAATGACAAACTGCATTATGACTTATTCTTATATAAAAAAAATGTTTCCATACATTTCCCCCCGGTCTGAACACCAGACATGGCACATAATTGAAAAGAGAGCAGACAAACCGATCATGTTCAGCAAAAATTACACCGAGTGGAATCAAATTTGTTTTGTCTCCCTCTGCTGCCAAAGTCTGTCATCTGGCAGGATGAGAGGTTACAGTGTCAAACGCTGTCCAGTAAACAAGCTCTTTGTGTTTCCATGTGATGTGTGTTTACAGGCCCTGTTGACTCGAATGTAACTGGGCAACGTGATGCTGAAGGAAAAAAAATACCCTTTCTCATGAACCTACTGCAAGGCTTTTAATGAAAAGGAAATTATGTAAATAGGATATACTAACAAAATCATGTGAGTACAGTGGTACATTACTGTAGCGTCACTGATATCTGTTTAAAATCCTATTGCTTATGAAAAAGTGTCACATACCACGGGCAGTGGTGATCCATCTTCAGGATGCATCTGTAACAAAGCAGGGTCACACGTCAGTGTAACTGAATCTTACTCTGCCTGCCAGAATGCAACGTATATCAGGCAGTCTTTTTCTCTATAGGTGCACGAGCAGAGAGCCATACTTATCACAGACTGAACAATGGTGACATCGATCAGGCTTCAGCAGCTGGCAGCGGTCACAGAAACGGATTGCTGAGGAGACACAGGCAATTCAATCACACAGCCGTCAGCAGCAGCAGCTTCTCCTAACACTTGACCACAGACTAACAAGGTGACGGGGGTGAAATGAGTTCTGAGAGCTGCACGTCAGTCTAGATTGTTCCCGTTGTTCCGCATCAGCTGCGGTGTGTACTGTACTGTACCTCCAGAGTTGGTACGGGTGTAGATGGGCAGATCCTTGGCTATCCTCCTCAGGATCTCCTGCTGAGACTCTCCTCGATCTTCACGCTCCAGCAACTCTTTGTCAGAGTAGGACAGGTGAAACTATGTAGAGCAGAACACAGAGGGAAAGACAGACAACGCCTGTGATTTATCAATACCTCTGTCTGTCAGCAGTCTGCTTTTACTTCTAGTAGGATCACCCTCATATATGTCGAAACCGATTCAAATGAGCTGTCAGATAAGCTATAAGCTGTGTTGGCGTCAGTAATGCGGTGATGTTTGTTGCTGTGAAGCTGCAGCTCAGTAGGCATTGAAGGGTATATCTGTATCTTCAGTTTGTTTTGGTTCTTTCTGCCCCAGCAGGCAAATGGGAGCAAAGCAGCACAGAGCTGCAATATTACAAATGATAACAAACAGCACAGCATAATGAAATTTGACTTTTATTACTATCTCAAAACCTCAAGTGATCCAGCGATCACGTCTCATAAAGGAAGGCTTTCATATGAATGATCACTGCCTGCATGCGTGCTTGGCCTCAGTTCAGATTAAAATGCAAAGGTGGCTTTCTCTCTCTGAGCGTCCTGTCTGAGATGTATGCATGTGTGTGCGTTCAGCCTGCAGAGCTGAAGTGCTGTGGTCAGGATCAGAGCCATTACAGTGCAGCTCCAGGCACTTCCACTGGGAAAGTATTATTAGTCTAAATGCAGCGTTCAATCACATGTGGAGGCTGTAACCTACATCTGGCACTTCCCACCATGCGTCATCATCCCTGTCGACAATAAGGCAGCGTCGCGTTCGACACACTCACCTCCTTCAGGGGGTTCATGGGCTTGGTGAAGATGGTTTGCCAGTACGCCCACACAAACATGATGAAAATGACATGGTACACCAGCAAGTACACAACTGAAAGCAGAAAACATAAACAAAGTCACCCTCATCTATCCTCAGTGGCATGCATTCAACCATTAACTCACAGTCTGCAGCTTCAGTCAATGTGATACATACTGTGTATTCTGTCATATCCACCGACCTCATATATATAAAGCAACCTGCTACATGAATCTTATTTATTTCAGCATCCTTTGTACTCTCCACCATTGCACTATTGTCCTACTGTCTATAAATGTTGCTGTGGATGTTTTATATATAAATATATATATATATATATATATTGCTCTATATATATACTGATGTAAATTGAGAGCCATGTAAAAGTAAAATCCCTCGTATGTGTACACAAACCTGGCCAATGAAAGCGATTCTGATTCTGATATTAATGATATTGATATTGTTTTCACTGTGACAAATAAAAAATCTAAATAATATATTATTATTCTGCTCTGTTAAAAAAGAAACTCAGTCTGAAATAAGAGAGTATAAAAAGCATCAAAGACTGATGTAATGTTTGATGAATGATTTGATTTATAAATACATAATTTGTGTGTAACTGCATATACAGTAGGTTTTATCTGACCATGACAATGAAGTTTACACATTATGTTTTGTTCACTATTTTGAAAGATAAAGCAGCAACAGTGCCTCATACCGAATGTTAACCTGCTCACATTAACAATGCCAGACATGTCTGGCAGGTATAATGTTTACCATATTCACCATTTTAAGTTTGGCCAATTGCCACGAATTTCATTAGTTTTGCAGGTCAAATTTTATTCTTTTGGTAGCGTGAGATGAAAACTTAATTCAGCCTGAGGGAAAAATGAATGTGTGCAGCAATAATTCATGGCAATCTATCCAATAGATATTTCAGTCTGGCCCAACGTGGGTCACCCACTGACAGACAGACATTACCATCCATCTGGACTGAATAAAAGTCTGCATTCAAACATGTAACTGAGGTGATGAAAATAAATCTCATGACACTCCTCCACTCTGCTGATTATAGTGTTTTGATTCTGCACAGACTGAAGGCCGCTGAACTCAACTTGACATCTAACAGATACACAGAACACCTGAAGACACTTATGATTCCTCCTGATGTTAAACAGCAACACTTACCCTTCTCTCCCGTGTTTTCTATAGACTCTGAAAGATAAAAAATTAAAAGACACAGTCAGGTCTGTGTTGAATAAAAGAAGGTGAAACACACTGAAGGACATTTTAGGATAGTCACAAATTTGTAGGTCAACATGGCGAGCCTTACATTTTTATTTTTATTTTGAATGCTTCACACAGGGACCTCCTCCACATGCTGTATTTTACATTACACATGTTTGACTGACAGTCAGGGTCTGAATTCAAATGAGCAAATACAGAAAAATGCTGATTCTGTAAACCCTTAATCCCAGTGTCCAATACCACACTAGTCACAAGATCAATATACAGCACACTCCCAGTCAAATAGTTCGACTCATTGTTCCTCTCATGTAGATAAGCATTACCGTGCATTGACAAAAGGCATCGAAAACAACAGGAACATCCTGCACCGTTTGTGTGTGTGTGTGTGTGTGTGTGTGAATGCTGACAGCTGCAACAACTCCCACTGAGGCGATGCTGCTGATTGAATGCAGACATCAGCACCCACATACACTTGATGAGCACCCCAAAAACCTTCACAAACACACACCTAAAGGGGCCGGTGTGCACATAACACCTTAAGTTAAGATTTTCTTTAGAGTCTAAGTTCGCTTAAGAACTTTATAATTTATAATTTAGTATTTTTAGGAAGCCCTAAAAGATAACCATTGCATAAAAGACCTTAGCAACTAAAGTAAGAAAAAAACTTAAAGTATTGTGATGTAGTGTATTTTTGTGACCTTTTTGATGGACTGAGCATAGCAACTGTTGAATTTTACTGCTGTAAAATCTCTTTTAATGCAATAAATGCCTTATCTTTTTCCTTCCCTAAGGAAATCTTTTAAGGGATTCTGTGCAGCACCCTTAAGTACATAAATCCCTCAGCTGAGGGGAAATTAAGGCCTAAGTGTCACACTTAAGGAGCAAATTTAAGGTGTTTTGTGCAACCGGTCTTAAAAGAGACAAGAGACAAGACCTGTTGGAAGTTTAGTTGACAGGATTTTATATTTTTCCCAATATCTAAGCAATGATTAGCTGAGCATACAGAATCATCCATCTTCAGCAATTATAGCAGCACACACACGCATATGCACACAGCAGGAACTGAGGAAAGGTAAGCCAAGGAGCTGAATCGAGGCATGCAGCCAAAAATCATGTGCATGCCGCCTTGCCAGCATAAAAAGCCCCAGAGTCTGACAGTGAAGCATAAGTGTGTGAGTGTGATTAAAAGCATGAGCAAGGATGTATATTAATGTGTATATTAAAGCATTACGGTCACTGCCATGCTCTCTGTCGCTTTTCCTCTCTGCAGTTTTACTACCCGAAGGCAAATTTCCAAACAATACACAGACTTTAGGAAGACCACCTGATTTCACATTTTGAACAATCTTGGGGAAAAAAGGGACCAACTGTTCAAAGGCTGATGTTCGGTGCTTTATAATAAAGTGGGTCAACCGCAGATTGCTTGGGGTGAATTATGTAAGCCAGACAATGGGATTAACTGAGCTGCCGAACAAGAGGTATCAGCTGACGATACTTTCACACAACTGTCTGTGTGTCTGTCTGAAGAGCACAAGCTGGCCCTGAGCAACCACTGTCCAGCCCTGTAGCTGCTGTTTTCCTCTGTCTGTCCCCATGTGACTCAAATGCATCACAAATTCGCTCTTGTTCTACGGGATGCAAAACAAGATGTTTTTTTTTTTTAAAGCCTGACCAAACAGTGTTTGGGTTTTTTTTTGGAGGGGGGGTTCTTTCCTCACACCCTGCAGTAATAAAGGACATCTCAATATCTCATGGAGCACGCAGCAGAGATATGGCGTCCTGTAAGAGAGTTCATCCTGACACAGACGCTGGCAGGCCTCTGAACACTTTAAAAGTGTCCACTCTCTCTCAAAGGAGGGGGGTAAAAACGTGTTAAGATTGACATTTAAACTGTACATTATTAAATCTTACATTATCTATTCAGTGTAATAAATGAATAATGAACTTTTTCAAATATTATAATATGAAATAATATCACAAAATAGCTGCTATTTATTATAGTAACTCCAAATATCCTACATCCATGGACGGGTTATGAGAAAACGAGCTCCTGAACACAGAGATGTAAAAGCCCCCCGACAAGGCAGCAATACACCCCAATGTTTTTCATCTCTTTGTGGTCGGTCTTTGTGGTTTTTGTGTCTCTTTGTGGTCATTTCCATCTCTTTGTGGTCATTTCCGTCTCTTTGTCGTCATTTGACAACAAGAACTTTGCTTCATTCAGAGGTTCTGGTCCAGGGGCCCTGGTCCTGTACCCAGTAGGCCTGTTAAGTAATCCATCCATGACACTAAGAAGCCAAATACCTATAACCTTCTGACTCTGGTTGGGGGAGGGAGGGCAATCAGATCGACTAAGCAGTCAGATTTCGAGTGAAGGGCATGACACCCCTGGCCAGTGCTGGTGAACCCAGTGACCCAGGCCCTAATGACTCCTGCAGCATACTTAAGTCTCACTCATCGATCAGGTGTAAAGACAATCGTGAATGTGCACGCTTTCAGTTGAAGAAGTCTGGCTAAATCTAGAGAATATCAGACTTTAGGAACAAACAGCCAGAATAACAAACCCTCCCTGCCTGTGTTTTCCTCTGTTTGGTCTCATTAAACCGTCTCCATTTCAACCCCCTTTTTGACAGAGGAGATCTGCTTTCCTAGTGGTCTGACAAGCTGCCAAATGGAGCACATGAGCAGGCTGCTGAGACTCCTCTGAGACATCCTAGAAACCATTACTCACTATCCAGGTCAACTCTGTGTTCACCGTTCACCAAAGAGACTCGCTGTCTGTAACCGCACCGTCCAACCCTCAGCAGCCGGAGGCAGCGTGGAGGAAGGAGGCAGGTCTGACTCAAAAGCCATTACAGTCAGACTTCTTGCCAACAGATAATGCTGTTGGGGTTGTGGCGGAGGATGTACATTCAGGTAATGAAGTCCGGCGACTACATGAGCCCAAGGCTATTACAGTAAGTCTTTAAGATAGTGCTGATAGAGTGATAGTGGTGGAGTCTCATAGGATGGCTTAATCCTATTCTGCACACCGTGTGATAATGTTATTAAAAACTCCTTCACAATAAAAGCAGGTTGTCAAATGCTTCTAATTATGTCTGTGCTGCGATGTGAAAAAAATGTGTATTTCATGCAGAAATTGTCACTTCCTTGTAACAATATGCTGACAATCCCTGGGTGAACTGTTACTGTCATGTGACTGACACTGTCCACACACTGCATAAACAACAAGACAGTCCTCTGCATCCAAAAGAGGGAAAAAAAAAATCATCAGCCTGGATCACAAACTGCTGAAACAGAAATGTCTCCACACCCCATCACACACACACACACAAAAAACCACACACACACACCAGTCAGAAGCATTTCCCCCTCATACACACACACAGAGACACACACCTCCTCTTCATACTACCAGACAGATGGTTTCTTACCTATGCAAAGCTGCAAAACATAGGCGTAGTATGACCAAGCCACTATGAGGACGATGAAGACGACCGGGATCCAGTACAAAACTCTCTGACAGCCCTTCTTGATACTACGCGAGCCCGACGGTGCCATAGTCTAGGAGCGGATCATTTCTCGTGCGCAATCCTGTGTTTACTCTCCCTCCGGCTCCCTCTTCTCTCTCTCTCTCTCTCTCTCTCTCTCTCTGTGTGTGTGTGTGTGTGTGTGTGTGTGTGTGTGTGTGTGTGTGTGTGTGTGTGTGTGCGCGCGCGCCCGTGCGTCTTCCTGTAGACTGTCACTGCATCGTTGCTCCGGCTCTGATCAGCCTAATCGGCAGCACAGACGCAACATCCTACCAACCTCCCGCCCGCCTCTGATGCTGCTGCCGCCGCCGCTGCTCTCCTCCTGCTGCTCCTGATGCTGCTGCTGCACTGCTCCCCTCTGATCGTCCTGCTCAGCCACTAGCACAGACTACAACAAAATATCAGACAGCTTTCTCACACTCACACACACACACACTCACTCACGCTCACTCACACACACACACACACACACACAGAGGGAGAGAGTCAGGACCGCCCCTGCTGCGTCCCCACAGGTTGCCATGACGTCCGCGGGATGCTGCAAGCCTGGCACATTTTTTCACCGCGAGCAGATGGGTTCAATAAGTTCAGACTCGCGAGTGCTGAAACCGCTCACACACACACACACACACACACACACACACACACACACACACACACACACACATACACACATACATGCAGCCTACAGGAATATGTTTGAGTGGTGTCAGTCAGTCCACCATAATGTCCAGTTGCTGTACTACTATTGTTGTTAGTTTTATTCTCTACTGGTAACTTATGACTTATGCACAATGTGCTCTTGTGTTTGTTTGTACATCTATCTTAATTTTGCATTTTCTATTAACCACACATTATTCTGGCACTGTTTTTACTTTACTTAATTTACTTTGACCTTAAATTTGTTCTACCTCCATCCGCATATATTGAAAGCTGAATTGATTAGTCGATTAACTTATTATTCGCCAACTGTTTTGATAATCGATTAATCATGTTGAAAATGTGGGAAAAAAATGTCCAAGTCCTCAGATTTAAGCTTCCAATGTGTGAATATTTGCTGTTTTCTTTAGTCCTCTGGGACAGTAAACTGAATGTATTTGGGTTGTAGACATTTCTTACTGTCAGCTTGGGCTTTGGGAAACTATCTATCTATCTATCTATCTATCTATCTATCTATCTATCTATCTATCTATCTATCTATCTATCTATCTATCTATCTATCTATCTATCTATCTATCTATCTATCTATCTCATACTGTGAGTTGGTGTTTGTGTAGTTTGGTTTGCTTGTGTTTGCCAACATATTGTGTTTTTCCATTACCTGACAGAGTAGGTGGAGGTCTGCGAGATCCACCTGCTCCTGCTGCTTCACACCCATCTGCACCTGCACAATATTTTACAGTCCTACAGTACAGAACATTGCACAAGCCGCTGGTGCCAAGCTGCACTCACAAACTCTTTACAGTCACATTTCACTTTCTGATTGAAAAGGTCTTTTATATATAAAGGCTGTTTGAATGTAAGACATATTTAAGTTGTGATTTTCAACCTGTTGCCAGTTTTGTGGGTGGGCGGCATGCTGCAGCAGTCTAACAATATGCGCCGCAATAATAAAGCATCTCAGCCTTACAGTAAGACAGATGGCTCAGTCACATGTCAAAACTCAACCAGTTTCAATGTTGTTCAAATACTGCCGAACAAAATGTGACAAATATGATGTAACTGACCCCAAATCTACAGTTTTGACTAAACAAGAAATTCAAAAAATACATATTTTTTCCATTTGCATCTGCAATTTATAAAAAATATGAGCACTGTAGTGACCTCTATAAATATCTGGGAACATTTTGAAAATGTTACAGCTGACCCTGAGCTCCCCTGAGGTGGAACTTCGCTGGTTTTACACATGGAAATTAATTTACTTGTCACTACTCGGCCTGTGAAACCAGCTGTACAATACCTCCTGTGTCCTTTTTTAAAGTCTCATCTTGGGTTTGACACGTAAAGTTTTTAAAAGAAAGCCTGTGGGCCAAACTTGGGGCGCAGAGTTTGACATCTGTGGGCATTTAGCAGGCAGAGAGGATCTAATGAAATGAATGATGCCAGTGAGTTGCATTGTGGGAATTACAGGATCCACTGTCTTTGAGAATCATGCATAAATGGGACAAAGAAAATCAGGATATCTCTGCCTCTGTTTCATCAGTTTTGACCATTCTTTCTTTAATCTGTGTCCTGTAAGTCCCCCATCTTTATGAAGGTGCAATGTTAAATTGCTGAAGTCCCCCTTCAGAGGATGGCTCATACTGAGGGGAAAGTGAACCCTTAATCCAAAGCAGCTAGATCTGGACTTTAGTGGGTGAAATTACCGGTGCTGTCACACAATGTAGGGATGAATGATGGGATGTACGGAAATTATGGACAAATACGTGGGACCATTCAATTCCTCTCACTCAACTAACTGGCAAGAGATGTTTAATGCAACTGTAACTGAAACTTTTCTCCACATTTTAGAAATCTTTTACAGAGTCCTTAAAGGATCTCCTTGATCTCACTTCAATGGGTGCAGGATTAGAGTGCGAGACAGCAAATTATTACCCTGCTGAATTAATCATTTAAAGATAAAAAGTCCCTGATTAGAGTTGTGTACACCCACACAGCCTCAGGTTCCTGATGATTAATACTGTTAATGATTTGCCTTCAGGTTGAGAATAAAACAGTTAATTTATTCTTCTGTGCTCCTGCCATCAGTCCACTGTAGTTACAAAGAAAAGGTTTGTCTGGGGAGGACGGTGTGAGGAGTTCAGTTTATTAGCTGAACTGTGTGAAAACAGTGACCACAGCTGCACACACTGTTGGCACGTGTGTGTTTGGGTGTGAGAAAGAGGAAGACGGAGAGCACAAAATAACCAAGAATGCAAATATTTTATAGTATATTTATTGCACAATGTCAATATAAATGCAACTGCGCTCTAACGTCAGTGTAACAGTCGAGGCCCAATTTAAAAGAGTGACATATGGCGAGAAGTTTCCAAAACTCACATCCAAAAACAAACCCATTAATCTTGTACAGCATGTTGATTATCTTCAGTCAGTCATTTGCAGTACGTAACTCCACACCAAGCAAACATTACACCAGGAAACATTCATGGTTAAGAATCCCTCAGTAACATATTATAGCAGTATTACAAGTGAGAATTTCTATAAAGAAGAAGATAAAGTGTAAACTCCTTCTTACAAAGTTTAAAGGGAAGGTCATTTTAATATATTGCTCTTTTAAACCCAACACTAATTTAAGCTGAGTGTCCCAAGAGTGGAACAAACATATGGCTTTAATATTCTGCATATTTATTTATAAAGAAGTCTTCCCTGCCAGTGGCATTAAAATAGCACTTGTCTTAACCAGCCAAGAAATGATTAACACTGTTAGCTGCCTGTAGTTAAACAGTGGGGGGATCCTGGAGGATTTTAGCTGCAGCGCTTTGGGAGAGAGGAGGAGGAGGAGGGGGAGGAAGGTGGGGAGGAGTGGGAGGTGCCTTCCTAAGCTGATCTGTGCAGGGGGCTGCAGAGCCGACAGAAGGACAAAGTGTGTGAGCCGTACAGAATCAGGCTCAGGACAAAAAGGAGAATCAAACCGAACAATACAGAGCAATAATAAGACAACAGATAGATAAGTTAGATAAATAAATAGAATCAGTTAAGTATCATAAACGGATACATATATTTACATGTAGATGAGTCAATAAATAGTTCAATATCTTCTGAGCAGGCAAAAGCGATTAGGCATTAATTAGACCACTGCAGCACTGAGTTAAGTGGATTTCATTCTCATGGATCTCATTAGCTTCATAATGGTTCATTCTTTTGTTTTTGTTTTTTTTACCACTTGCAACAACGTCCCATTAATCTGACCACATCCTGTTTGTGCAACATCCTGTTTATTTTTTAAAACTTCTACAATTATGCAATAAGATAACCCTTCTGTCCTAGTAGAAAGCACAAAGCAGGCAAAGCTCATCCCGACTGTAAGACATGCACCGATGATGGATGATGAGATTTTTTTACCTGGTGACAAAACAGAGAGAGAAAATGATGAATACAAGTGAAACTTTGGAAATGTAAACCAACACATTGTGCCACCATTTCCTGAGGATTCATCCATTTTGTCCCTGTTAAAAGGGTCAAGCAAAGGTCTAAAGACACAGTACAGTCTTTAAAACCCCCTGAAGCAAATTATGATTCTGGCCTATACAGGTAAAATTTGATTTGAATGAACTACCATTATGAAGAAAGACCAGGATGAACAATCAGTATTGTTCTTAAATTACAAACACAGTCAATTATTTCTTGTATATTACATGGCAGAAAAGAGACACTAAGAAACAAGAATAAATTAGACTTGTGAGAACCAAAAACTCCTACAGCTCTTTATCAAACAGTCATGGAGCACGAGTGTTGCGGTAGTTCTGCAACTATGCAGAAAAAAATCTGTCTCCTCTGCAGGACTCACCACAGCTGTGGATTTTCAGCACCCAGGCAACAAGCTGCAAACCAGCTGTTCTCCCAAATATCTACATACTTCTTTACATACACTTACATACTCATTTACTTTAATTTAAAAATAACATATTGGCAAAGTATTGCCAGCACAGACGACACTTTACATACAGTAAAACTTCAATTAAAAGCAGGATCCCAATTAGACACATCACTAGTCTGCTGTGGCTTCAAGTTTTGATAAATAAATGCAGGTCTAATTAAACCCCCGGTCTATAAAACCTCTTAAAGACCATCGGGTCTCCCAGTTGAGAGACTTCGAAGCTGCTTAGATCGCCTACACAAATATAAATGTTCAAACTTCTGACAATATGAACATGCTACATATCATTAGATCTTCCACGATTCAATCATTCAGTTCATTTTAACTACCACATAATTTATATTTAATTCGATAGCTACATTTATAATAATAATTCTATATATAATAATATTCAAACTAGTTTAAATAAACAATCTGATTGTATTAGATAGTAGAGTTTTGTGTTAAACTGTTCCAAATGAAGGAAGGTTGTGTTCATTGATTGAAGCAAATAAAAGCCTGGGCTATTAAGTAATTAATTACGTTACAAGTTAGCTTATGCTGAAAGTAAAAAAAAAACAAACATTTTGATAAATACACTTTTTCTTGATATTGCTTCTATATGTACGGTAAATATAAAGCTACAGCCAGTTAGCTTAGTGCAGCAGAACCTAAAACCTAAATGTAGAGACAATAATAATCCACCGTAACACCACAAACCAATCAAACCAGATATAACGTGTTAATGAGTGAGTTTTAGAGGTGCTGGTAGGTGGATACGGCTAGCTGTTTCCCCCTGTTTCCAGTCTTTGTGCTAAGCTTAGCTAACCAGCCGCTTCTTATCTAACAGACATAAAAGTGGTATTAATCTTCTCATCTAAGCAGCATAATTCTCAAAATGTTTAATTATTCTTCAAGTTAATTATTACATTCATATCTGTCCACTTCACTTTCATCCGGATAAAAATCTCACAATAATGAGGTTAAATTGTGCTAATTTCTCTCTCAAAATAGACACTTTTATATTGTTTGCAAAAACATACAGCTCAAGTCCTTTCCAAAGATTTATCAGGGAAGATTACCCAGTCCTCTCCCAAGAGGTGCATTTCCTTTGAAACATTTATACGGCTTTAAACTGCACTGCTCACTGCTCATGTATGCAGACTTAAGCTGGTATCTGGTGGCAGTTGATCAGGCGTTAATATTACAGTGAAACTCAATGCTTCGAGCGAGCAGAGTGTGGGCCTCAAAACACATCTGAAAAGACTGCCTGGGATAGTGTGCCTGGGAAACTCTGTTTGGGAACGGTTTTAAAAAAGAATGCATTTTTTTTTCAGCCTCACATTAAAGATTGTTATTGTATTTTTTTTTTTTTTTGCTCCATTTAACAGTGTGAGAAAAAGATTTTACCTATTTGAATGAGAGCTCCTTCTTCATGCACGTCTTAAAAGAGGTGAACTTCTCTTCCACTCTGACACCCTGTGAGTGTGTGTGTGTGTGTGTGTGTGTGTGTGTGTGTGTGTGTGTGTGTGTGTGTGTGAGAGGGAGAGAGAGAGAGAAAGAAAGAGGGAAATACTATGAGAAGATCAATTTCAGTACGACCCGCTAGATGGCAGTATAATTTCACAAACAATTGCCACCTCAGAGATGAGTTGTGTTTCAGTAATAAAAAGTGGCAGGAGTGTTAGATATTATGCTATGGAGGTATTTAAGTAAACCACCACCTCAAGACATAATTAGTGCTTACTCAGTGTTGTAATTAAACAGGAAAGGAGGTGTTTGGGATGCTAATAGTTGTCTAAGTAGTACTCCGTTTTGAAAACAAACATGTATTTCTGTGCTCAGCATCAACTCCTATTTGTCTTCCTGTCCTTCATCCTGTTAAGTCTGATGTAACTTTGCATCCACGTGTGAAACCTGACAGATTACAAATAAAGAAAAGTCGCTGACAAAGACTGGCCACGCTGGTATCTTTCACATCAGCCAGTGCTGCTGTGTGTACAGTAATACTTTATCAAGTTTTAAATTAGGATAGGAAAAGGTTGAAGGTAAGGTTTTTCCCAATTTGTTATTTCAGGAGTCAACAAACTTTAGGAATCCTATCATATCTTATCTCAGGTTAGGATACTGTTATGTCTGTTACCTAGCAACTCTGTTCTCATTTCGCCGAGCTAAAAAACTTTTCCTATCTGAAGTTAGGATAGATACATGACTGAGTAGCAGTTCATCTGCAAGGGCTTTCTTCCAAATATCAAGTCCTAACTCTAATCACTATGGTTACCAAACAGTTAAGATTTTGGATTTGCAAGTTAGGACGCTGCTTCTCTTCTCGTCTGTCCTTTGAGAAGCTGCTCTCTCCGAGACTGACGAGGGAGGAGGAGAGAGGACACATCTATTCTGTCACCTTCAGTGCCATAAAAAAACCTCTGCTATCTCTGCTGTCTCACCCTGCCACCGCGCTGCAGCCGGTCCTTCATGACACCGATGAACTCCTTGTGGCTGAGTTTATCGTCGCGATCCTCGTCGAAGATCTTGAACACCGTGTTGACCAAGTGGCGGGTCAGCTTGATGCCTGTAGCCACGTAGACCGCGCGGGTAAACTCCTCTGAGAGAGAAGAGAAACAGGTGAGCAGGAGAGAAGGGAACAATACATAACAGGAATAAGACAAATAAGACTATAATCACATCAAATCATTTTTTGGAAAACAATCATGATGCAAAAAGCAAATACACGCATGTCTGCACACATATTTTTGTATTTGGGGCTGTTTTTCATGTTTCATGTTTCAAGTTTTTATGAAGGGAACTCTTACTGCAAGAGCATACAATGTTATTTCAGACAACAGTGCTCTTCCAATTTTGTGTAAACAGACTGGGGAAGACATTTTCATAACATAACAACACCCCCATTAACAAACAAGGGTTCGGTGTGGAAGAACTTGACTGGCCTGCAGAGGACCCGGACCTTAAAGGGCTTTATCGCCCATCATCAATGTCCGACCTGACTACTCGAGCTGTGAATGGAAGAAAATCTCTGCAGCCAGGTTCTAAAATGTGGTGGAGATCCTTCCCAAAAGAGTGTAGGCTGTTGTAGCAGCATATTATGCTAATGGGATGAGATGTTTGACAATCACAAATGGGTGTAATGTCCAGGTGTGCACATACTTTTGGCCATGTAGTGTAGGTTCATGTCAGAAGACACGAGTATGACACCACCAAGAATCAGCCAAAGTATATTGGAGACACGTTAACATTTAATGTAAATGTGTTCATAAGATCAGGCTTATGATATATTTATACTATTCTTACAAATATATTACAGTTGGAGTGATGTTTAAAAACAGCATGTTTTTATTCATCCACCTTGACCAACAATACGTGCATCAGAAGTTTTATATACACATTCATATTTATGTTCATGATAAAACATAGCAGAGCAGGTAAATTACACCATGGTTAGTTCAGCCAGTCATCCCTGCACAAGTTTGTGTTTCCCCCCTTGAGTGGAGCTGTTACTGTTATCTCATGAGATGGAAAAGTAGTAAAACTCCCTCAAACTGAACAATCACGTGACTCAAGTTTAAGTGTTGTACAACTAGTATGTGACTACAGACTTTACCTTGACCAATGGAGCGGTTGGCGAAGTTGTACATTTGCATGGCGATGGCAAAATCCTCCAGGTTGTTTAAGAACTGGAAGAAAGACCTGAACTCCTCAAAGGTGATTCCCTGCCGAGAGATAACGACAATGAAACAATGCCTGTTATTTATGAAACATAAAACTTGTGAAATGCAACACGAGAAATCATAAAGTGCCACATAAAGCAAATGGCTGCATGTGTCAACACTCCAGCGAAGGATAGTGCTACAATTCACACACAACACATAATCTGCTTCCTTTCATCCTGCGGAGGAATCCTTTAGTGTGTGTGGGACCTTGAAGCCATCAGATAGATAACACACCCAAACAGACAAAGTATACATTGCTGGATTTTCCCCGTGCAGTATGGACACGCCGAGCTGTCAGCGGCGGGGGGAGGATTGTAGCTTTTGGGAAGAGGTCAGGCTGTTTGCAGACTTTTCTAAGGCAGATTAACCTGATACTTGAATAAACAAAAACAACAGAAGTGATGAATCCCCAAACATCTCAGGCTTGGCTGATGACTCAAACACTGAGCCTATTGATGTCCACTCAACCATCCCACAGCTACTAGCTCCTTCTCTCGCCGGGGGCCACGCCAAACAGGCAACACACACAGCCGAACAAATGGAGTAATGACTAATCTGTGACGCTTTGCTGTTTTAACAAGGCGAGGGCCATAAAATATCTCTCAGCCTAATGACGAGACCCACTTCATAATCAATGGAGATCTAGCAACAGGCTACTCGAGCCGGCTGAGGAGCGGGTCAGCGTGCCAAGAGGAAAAACAAATTAAAGCTAAAATGAGGATGCTTCACTCAGCAGCTTATTCACAGAGTGCTATGCAAAGAAACAGAGGACTAAAATACTCCCATACTCACACCAAACAACCAGGTGTGTGCTGTTATCCTCACATTTAAACACCTCTATGACGTCCTTAGGCCTACTTGCTGCAGTACATGTTCACTGTGCATTGCTGCATCTTCTTTAGGCCTTTTTCACAGCAGCTATTTTGAAATGAAGTAGTCAAACAGAGTCAGGATGCTGCTATTGTGCATGCTGGCTCACTGGACGCCTGTGTTTACTGTGTGTTTGAGTTCAGATTCTAAACAGTGTTGCTTCAAAGTCTGTGAAAAGCTAACTGATTCATTTAAAGGAATAGTTCAGCATTTGGGAGAGAAAACGCTTTCTCTCTGGGAGTTCGAAGAGAAGCTCAATACCACTCTACGCTAAATAGGAAGCTATAACCAGCGAGCAGTTAGCTTCGCATAAAGACTGGGACAGAACTAGGATAACTCTCTCCGAGTTAAAAACAATCCTCCAGTTAGTAGTTTTGGAATCTACTTTAGCTATGTGTGTGTTTGTGCATGCAATATATATAATGATATGGCTTCAGGTCTTGTATATGTATGTACATCTATATCTGCTTGTGTATACATGCAAATTATATGGATATGCATGTTTATTATTATTACTTGCGCACCAGGTTTTATTATGTACAAGCACAATATAGCATGAATCAATTCAGATTTAATTAACTATATCTGTATACATCTTCTGTCAACATGGACTTATAAAATGTTGTTCACAAAACAGAAAAATCTGAAAAAATAATACAATTTATTATGTTTGTTTAAACTGTACAAAAAAGAAAAAAAAAACCCTACAATTTGTGAATTTAATGTAAATTGAGTGCTGGCACTCGAAGATAAACATTAATTAGCTCTGACATATAATTCCCATAAAAATAAAACCAAATGTTATTCTAATGGATGAGTTAAAGAAATAAGATACAACATGTCGATTAGTGAGCTTTAGAGGTGATGACAGGCACACGTTTTAACTTCAGGATGGAGCCAGAGTAGCTGTTCCCCTCTGGTTGCAGTCTTTGTAGGCTAATCACCTCTTGGGTCAAGCTTAGGGCGCAGACGTGAGATAAATATCGACCTTCTCATCTCACTCTCGGGAAGAAAGCAAATAAGCACATTTCCCAAAATGTTCCTTTTAAATAACCTGGCACAAAGTGTCTAATTAATTAGTTCTACAATCTTTTTGAATGATATCATGCTGAAGAGAGGAGTAGATTAATCTCTCCTGCATATATTAAGGTTCCAGTTTTTGATAGATTAGATCATATTGTGAGTTAGTTTGTCCAACCCGTGTAATTTAAGATGAAGAATGGCAGCTGTCAGAGGTAACGTGATGATAAAGTGAATTTTAAGGGGAAAAGCAGCGCACCTTTTCATCTGGAATGCTGTGGCGCACGTTCTCCAAATACCCACTGACGTCGTCCACGTTGGTGTAGCGAAGGAGGATGCGAGCGAAGTCTTCCTCGCTGATGGTGGGCAGGCCTTTGGAGTAGGAGAGGAACTCTATCTCAAGCACCTCTGTCTGCAGGTTGTCCATGAACCTGGAGGAGCGAAACGGAGGACAGCTGCTGACAGGAAATGCCACCACCAGAAACTCATCATGCACAAAGGAACACTTAACATAGTCACAAACAAAACCACTAAAGTCTGAACAGTTTGAGGTTCAGTGCGATACGAGAATAATTAATGGCCCTATTACACTGTGAGATAATAATTTCTAGGACATCATGATTTATCACAGAGCAGACAAAAGGTTTTTCAACTCACTCGTAGAAATCTTCAAATTTCAACTCGGCTTTGCCTTTTTTCCCAAAGAAATGCACCAGCAGCGTTGTCTCTGTTTTCTCATCCACGTGCTGTCAAAGATAAGAAAGTGCATTACTCCTCATAACTTTAAAAATCCACTTTAGATGTTATAAAGTCTGATAAACAGAGCAAATCACACCTGATTACAGCAACGATTCATTCAAACATTGAGGGTATTTGCACCCAGGATGAGCTGTTTTGTTACATACAAGCGTATCATGGTACCGACCAGGTTAACAATTACATTTATTTAACCATGCTGACAGCTTTAAGTAAAGATGTTAGTTAATAGCCATACCCAGATTCTGCTATTGAATAATTACCCAGAGTTAATGGTTAATTTTTCACTGTGCCTGAAACCAAACCAGCATTTCCTCCTTTCTGCACAATACAAACACGTGCCATGCAGCAGATTCGTTAAACATGCTACAAAGGAAACATTAGAGGAGTTCTCTTTGAGTATTTACTCTTACTAACAAGAAGATCGATGCATAAATCAAGAACTTGTTCCACTGTTCTCGCTAACACGAAACCTACAGAAGTTTTCATGAGAAACAAATCAGTAAGGACAGAACCTGGTACTTAGTATTACTTTATAAAGAAAGAAATGAACAGTCCCTCCAGGAAGTTGCAATGGCAATAACTAACGCAAATTCAACCAATCCTTGTGAATTTTGCAATTTTGTTCAATCACTGCCAGTTTAATGTGAGTTTAACCAATTGTAGCAGTTCCCTGCACAAAATGTTGAGCACTATTCTTGCAATTTTCTCCAACAATCCCCCCCAAAAAGCCAACGAAATCCTGGAGGGACTGAATGAAGAAGTATCTTAATGACGGCAGTGGCTACCTCAGTGAGATCAGAAAACAGAACTTGACTTGTGCCACGTCTGAGAACATCCCACATGCCCCGGGCCTCCACATGCTGACTGTCTTTTTTAAGAACCTGTGGCAGCAGTTGAAGCACAGCTGTTAGAGGACAAAATACATCTGGCACATGTTAGAGAGATTAGGAAAAAGGGAGATGGACAGACAAACGTGGACACTGAGGCAGACAAGGAGGACAGGAGATGCACAGACTGGAGAGAAGAGTCAGACATATGTAGCAGTAGACAAAAAGTCAGACATGCAGAAACAGACGGGGGCTGACACCGGTGTATCTGAGAGGCCCATCAGCCCTGACGTGAGCCTGCGATGCAGCGATGCATGCAGCCTCTTGGCAGGACATCGAGCCAATACAGCTAACACATGTCGAAAGCATGCAGGGCGTGAGACCTGAAGGGTGATTCATGCCAGGTTAACTATGTAACTGAACCCACCCAATACATCATCATTTGATGCTATGCTGTGAGGTGAATGCAGGTTATCAGACACCTTTCACCCACTGTTGTGAAATAGGTTCGGATTTTAAACGGATACATTCTCTTTTGCGCGAGACTGTAAGTCTAAAAATAAAAGATGATGGTGCAGATTTTTACCAATACACTAAAATGCACAAAAACTCTTTGACCACATTTCCTGCTCAATGTAATCTGGAACAAAGAAGCCACTCTCTGCTATTTTTCTCATTGAGGTCATGCTCCTGATCTCGGATTAACCAATCATTATTATTATTACAGTTTACACTGTTCCCTTCACTTCCACCCAGCTGCTGTGGGACTATAATAACTACAGCTGCAGTGAAACACAACTGTCAACAACAATTTTCTGGTAATTGGTGTCACGTGCAATAAAAAGATCACAGGAGATCTGTCTTCCGAGCAGTTAAAAAAAACTAGGACATCTCAGTTAGCAGTTATAAACCATGTTGCTGCCTCTCACTCTCATTCTGTTTTTTTCAACCTATCATCTCTTCAGTCTGGGTGTTTTCTCAAGTCTCGACATCGCCTCATTCATAAGCAACATCAGCACGCAACCAACCAGAAACAGCCAGCCGCCATCGACACGTGTTCTTAAGGTTGGCTTGCTTCATTTCATAATATTTATTTATCTTATTGAGTTTTTTTTTTTTTTCATCTCTCAAGCCCGAGGGGGAATGTGAGACAGCTGATAAAACAGATCTTCCTCTGCGCCTCATCGCTTTTCACCAGAGAGAGAGAGATTTACGGCATGATCCCACAGCTAATTACCGAACAACTCTTTAATGCGCCACGCTGTTCCCATCTCATCCCATGAAAAGATCCTCATACACTTGTAATTAGAATATGTTGGGGAAAGCCCAACCGCAGCACTGAAGACATGCCTGTTATGTGTTTTTGAAAAGATTTGACTTTTGAACTTTTTCTGCTGGAAAGTTACCTACAGTACGGGAGAAGAAATCAAAACAAAAAAGACACACCTCAAGGGAAAGTCTTCAAACAGAACTCTGAAAAGATGGGTCTGTCCCACTGTTAGCTGTAGGCTCTTCTATGTGTGCGTGTGTGTGTGTGTTGAGTGCTTTTCACAGTGCTGCTTCTCCTCTCTGACGGGCATATACATGGTCAAACCCATCACAAAAGGTAACCTGAGCCAAAATACCACTCCTCAAGAAACTGTAAAAATAAAACATGGGGGTCCGGGCGAAACGTTGTCAGTCTTTTGGTAAGAGCTTTTTGAAGTGGAATCCCTCGCCCAACGCTGACAAAAGCAGAGTACATAAATCATCCGCAGCGCACCCCATGCACTACCACACACACTCACAAAGACAATATGTCAGATAATGTTGAAGTACACGGTGGTGTATTTCAATTCCAGTGAATGTGAATGAGGTTATCTAGTGTTAACAGACACAAATACGGGTGGTGTCAGCCCCTGAGATACATGTGTGTTTTCTGTGCTAACTCACTGTGCAAAAACATTTTCAGGTTAGGGAGAGCGCATGCCAAAAATACATGCAACAAGCAGAACAGTTCATTTTCCTTCAGGGAAAGAGAACAATACATACACTGTGTGGCGGGGGTTTGTGATGCCCGTACAGCTGCAGGCTCTGAAATGCAAAAAGAGAACAGAGAGACAAGATGTATTTATAATACAAAGTATTTTAGAACAGGAAGATGGTTGGAAATTAGTTTTTTAAGCTTCCGATTGAAGCAACGCTGTCAAGTTTATATGACTTTACCAGGAATCCAAGATACTTATTCCTATTCTTCGGTTAGTGAATGCACCTAATCCTCGTCTTCAGCTTTGTCTTCTTGCAAAGCGTCATTATATTTCCAAATCTAGAGTACCCATTCTAATGATCTTTTTGATGGTTATACGGGCTTCAGATTAATGTGAGACCGTCCAGAGATGCTAACGTTTGTCCCGGCAGAATAAGCTCCTCCATGTTGTGTTTGTGCGATAAGACCTCAAAGAGTCGCTCTTATCTCTCTTTTCAGCTCTGCCTGTTTACATCCACCTGCATGTGGCATAAGACAGTCTTAAAGAGATGAAAGCTTCAGGCATGTTTTACCCTGTATGACCACATTCACCTCTGTGCAGCTTGTGTTCTCTCCAGTAACACTGCAAGTGTTGCAAACAAAAACCCTGTCATATAATGCCATGTTGGTTCAAATTTAAGATTCAGGTCAATGTCAAGCTGCACTAATCTTTTTTTAAACAATAAATCAAAGAACTCTGTGTACTTTGAAAGGCGTCACTCCTGGTGACAAAACCCACAGTGAATATCACCTGACCCAGGTCAAGTCAAATCTTATTCATGTAGCCCAAGATCACAATTTGTAGATGTCATTCAGTAGACTCTTTCCTAAGTAAAGAAAAAAACACTGCATAAAGTCCTTTTAAACAGGGAAAAGTGGAAGAAACCTCAGGAAGAGCAACAAGGGAGGAATCCATATCGCTGGTCGGACAGACAATAGATGTTGATTGTACAGAACAAGCCATCAAAATGATATACAAGTATATACAATCACATTATATACACATTTTGATGACACAGTTTCTGATACATGAAGATTATAAAACCCAATAGTCCCCTGTCAGCTGTATGGAGCATTTTAGTGTTTTTCAGCCCAATGTTTTCTTTTTCCGGCTCGAAACATTTTGACACACAGATCGAATCAATCTTGCTTTCAGCTGCAACAGGCAGTTGTTTTTAAATGGCAAAGCAATGAGCTACCTGCCCAGCACCAAACAGCACACACAGTTAGTGACTAGCTGCATGTTTAGCTGAGGCAGATATTCCTCTTGGGAGTTAATGTAGACTAAAACAAAGCTAAAAGAAGAGTGAATGTTGAACTTTCATTCGTCAGGTGGCAGAAACATGACGAATAAATGTTGAATGTTTAATTAGGCAACTTCTTGCTAACACATAGCCATATCAACCTTATACAGTGATAATATGTCCCTGTTGTGTTGCGCCCAAGAGGGAAAATTAATTATTGCAGGTTTAAATCGATATATTTTTATGGCCACTTGGGGGCAGCAGACCAAGCTGAAAGCACAACACCTGACATATATAGTTGTTACAGGGAACTTGTTAGCAAATATGCATTTAATTACACATCTAGCACACATAGAGCAACACTGACAGTTGTGTTTCTGCTACCTGACTCACGCAAGTCCAGTATTCACACTTCTTTTATCTCTGTTTTAGTCTACGTGAGTTCTGTGAAAGATATCGGCCCTCTACCTTGCGAGTTGCTAATTTTGTCTCTCTGTCCTGCTGCTGCTGGAGTTTACGGCCAAACCAAAACAATGAGCTGCTTCATCTATTTCACATTAGACATAGTCACCTGGTCCACTATTTATGTAAAAGACATTGATTACAGCAACTTCAATAACCATCAACAGTCAGTTCATACCTGCTGGTCAAATCTTTGCACGTCTTCAGCAACTTCCTTTTTGTCCTTTTTCTTACGGAAAATTTCCTCCAGCTGGTGGGAAGATGATAAATTATTATGCAAAAGGTAACAGATAAAATGTTATTATATCTGATTACGAGACGAGGCTCATACCACCAAGAACTCCCTTTTGTCCACCATTTCATTCCCATCTGCATCAAACATGTTGAAAGCAATCCTGAAGCCTGCATGGGGCTCTGAAATCAAACAAAAATGAATTATAGTCACAGACAGTCACCAAGATAATTCTGCTTAAGCCAGTTAAAACATATACTTACTTGTTAAAATGCAGAGCAGGAACAGATACTCTGTGTAACTGATGACACCTGGAAAAAAAATAGAGAGATTTGTCAAGCTTAGAAACAAAAACCTAAACGTTCCCTTTTCCACACAAGGCAGCATCAAACAGCATTAACCAGTTAGCTGAAGGTGTTTACAAATGTTCAAAGTCATGCGCCCGAGATGAATAAGCCATCCAAAGAAACGCCTTCAGACAGGGGTAATCTTCTTGCGCTCACTGATAACATCTTAAAAGGTGCCTTTTACTTCATGCTTGGTGTTCCCCTCACACAAACACAGGCTTTACAACTGAGCTGACCTATCTGGACACAAACCCAAACAAATTTAAGGCCTACGGCTTCTGATCGTGTTTGGGTAACAAGGTGTAATACATTCTCAAGTGATCTGTCACTGATTGAGAATGGCCGATTTTCAGGTTTTGTGTCGCGTCCTTCAGCTCCCTTTGTTGTGTGACACAGAGAAGAGAAGAGTAAGTGTCAGGAGACATCTCAGTCGACTCAGGAGGCTTCTCCCCTCTGCCTCTGAAAGCATTCCCAAGCTTTTGTTTGCTCGGGAAGATAGAGAATCGAGCCCAGATAGTTCTGGGTGACTGCTCTTGGTGTTATGGGAAAAGAATTCAGGTACAAGGTTTGCTGCAGGGAGATATTTCCAGAAAGAGGAGCACCCAAGGGAAAAAACCTAAACTAGCAAACAAAGATTTTACTCTGCTTCCAAAATTCCTCTACAGCACTGGTTTTTCAAATTATGATATGTGGACCACTGGTGATATAAAAGCTGCCTTAATGGTACACGAAACATGAAATAAATTAATTTAAAAACACAAAATACTACAAAATTCTAATAAAAATACTTGAGTTTGCCATTTCCTGTAATATTTTCTGCTACGAAGTCACATCCACGAGCTGAACTACGATGGGAAGATAAACTAGACAACAAAAATATATTCCAGCGCACACCAGAATACGACTGACACGCTTTTATTGCGTTAGAAACAAAACAAAAGGAGTGAACTACATGCTGCTTCATCAGATTTGCACCAAGGTAAAAGGAATCCTTCAGAAACATGCAACCATGACTCTAAACAGAAATCATTAGGAAATGAAGTGTGGACCAGGAGTAATCCTTTTCCACTAAATTAACTCTGGCTCTTGAACCGATTCCGTTCAGGCTTCAACAACAGTCCTACAGCAGGAATAAACTTGCCTCTCGCATGAACTGTCCTGAATACAGCGTTTTACTGTATTTTAACGTCGGTCATAATGGTGATACTTGTTGAGCCTACTGTTTTCTGAGGGGGGGGGGGACACGGTGTAAGAAGTTTGAGAACCACTGCTCTGGAGGCTGGAACTACTCTGCTAATAAGATGACGTAAAAGCCAGTGAAACACATGTACAAACTGAGGTGTGAAAAGAGAATTAGTGATGCGTGCCATTCGACAAACTTCATCAAAAAAATCCCCCACGACAAAGTGCTCCGTCTTCACACCCCAGCTCTCTCTGTTTGGCAGGTACGGCCCTATAATGACAACAGATCTCTAGCTTCAAAGCCTTTAAAGCTTAAATGGGTTGAGGAGGGAAAAAAAAAGATTCCACCCATGTTTCACCAATACCACACACCTTCACTCCTGGAGGGAGCCACCCTCCTCCCCTCCTCCCTCTGAGCCTCTGAGCTCAAGTAGATGTTGTTAGACAATACAAAGAATTCCACAGAAACACTTCATACAGAGTGGCAGTCCCGGAGATGTAATCCAATGCCATTCTTAGGCTTCATAATGTCCGTGGTGATCAGGGGGGTGGCCAGTGGGACATGTCTCGACATAGCTGGGTTCAAACAGCTCCCTCATTCTCTAAAGCAACGCTTTGTTCACAGATCAATCCAGTCCTTTTTTCCCTGACAAAGCCGCAACGTTTAACAGCAGGATTAAAAGCCCCAAATCCCAGCATTGGCACTTAGCTAAAGCAACAGAGGAGAGAGCAGAACAGTGAGATCTGATGCTCCACTGGCTCGTATGACCTACTGAGCTGGAGTGTGCAGGCCCAGGTGGGAAATTTTGAAAAAAAAATCTTCAATCACACTGACAACTTCATTTTCTTCATGCAACGTTACTGTGAATTAAGGTTTGCAGGGTGAGGAGTGAAGTCATTTCACAAGCTGCATTATGTAAAATGAGATTATCTCCAGGTGCTTTGCTCACATGTGGTTCTGTGTGTCTGTGTAGTGAATGTCAATTTACACGCAATATGATCAGGCTTTATTTTAAGGGTCAATGAGTTTATTTTGTTATTTATTAGGATTTACAATCTCCAAATCTTCCAAAATAAACATGGCAATTTGGTACTGATCATTAACTTTGCAAGCCAGCTGGACTCGCAAGATCACAGTGATACCGGATCAATTAGTGTCCTTTGAGGAAGTACTGGCAGCTATGGGGGTGAGCCCGGGTGTGATGCACCAAGAAGACACTAATCAGCTCCCATTGAGGTTAGCGTAGATGCTGCTACCATCAGATATTTAAGAACTGTACAGTGTTTATTCTTTGTGAAATAAGAGTAAAGAACGGCACTGGAAGCTTTTCTCGATGGGAAAGATGTTTTCACTCTTCTCCCATATGTTATGTGATTGGTTGAAGTTCGTCCTGTGATAGACAGACGGTTCATCCAATCACCTGCTGAGTATTTTTTTGAATGTGCAAGCCCTATTCCAATGACAACTTCCCAGATGTTTGTGTGTAAGTCAAGTTAACTAATTAGGTAAAGAATAAGGTGTTTAATTAAGTAATTCCAATGAATTGCTATTGTAATGACATAATAACATATACACACACGTATTATAGTATACTATAAGTAAATATTGAATAAGAAATCTAAATGTAAGATTAATGAACCACATTTTATATTCAATATTCCTATTTTCAATGCAATCGTTAACTGCTATAAACTGTAAACTGCAGTTGCCTCCCTGCCACAGACAGTGACAGAAGATCTTCAGTGAAGCACAATGTCCACGTTTCACATTAAACTGTAAGTGCAACTTATCAAAAAGACACTTCAGTTCTCTTAGTTAAATTCATTTGCTATGAATTTAGTGTTGGATTCAAGACTTTTGAAAAGAAGTCTTTAAAGGACCCTGATGGTGCAGCACTGTATTGTACCAAAAATACTTTGCGTTGTTCATGGGGACTGAAACAATATTTTAAAGAGGGTAAATGAATGAAAAAAGTTTGAGAATCACTGACCCAGAGTCTTTTAACTGCTCAGCCGAAATGTGTCTACAAGCAAGCATACATTACAACATTCATTCATCATTTATTGACTTCTGCATTTCTTTCATGGAAATTCCTCCTTTCCCTAAAAAGTAGTACCAAATGATATAGTTATTTACAGGAAACCTATTCTACTTTATATTAAAGAAACCAGCAAGAAACCATTAAGTGTATTATCAATGGACCATTCCCTCCTGCAGAGGGTACTTGAGAATAAATCTACAACATGTTACCAGACTGATGGCGAGATAAGATAGTATTTACAACACACTCACTGCTCTGGAGTATACAAGGCTGACATGCACAACAGAGCACACTCTGAACAAGACATGGAGGGCCTTTAAAAAAATAAAACCATAAAGGGGAATCGCTTGAATTCAGTGGATTTATGTGTGTGTTAGTGGGTTACTTCACCTCGTCCGCGAAGGTTTCTAAACAAATTAGATGATCCTTTCCAAACAGGCGGGGTGTCAGCCAGCATCTTGTCTAATTCCTGCGAGAATAGAAGAAAATCCCAAATCACTCATTCATTTCTAAATCCCAGGTAATCACAATGTAATGCAGTGTTTGTTGGCAGTAATTACAGAGGTTTTACTCAGATGAAAAGGACCTTCTGCTCACCTTTTTTGTGAGGGACTTCCACGCTCTCCTACCTACACAAAACAAGGTTTAACAGTTAGCGGATGATATATGTCGGACGTATAATAATACGTTTAAACGGTGGATTCTGCATTAGTGAAACAAAAGTGAAAACAGGTGTTTATGTGGACAGAAACACAAGCTGTGTATCTCCACGAACACATTCCAATGGTCAATAAAGCAGAAGATAAGATGGAGGTGTTGTAAAAGAAAAAAAAAAGTCAAATCACATCGATAACAATGACAATAACCCTCCGCTGACACATTTTAAAGCCTGTGTCTAAAGCTGGGATTATGATTGCCATGTGATGGCCTGCTCTCCATCAAAGTGAGGTGTCTGCGTGTGAAGATAAAAAGGGGAATATTGTCCTCAATGTAGGCATGTATTTGATGCTTTCTATTAATGTTTCATAACCAGCAAACACTTATGGATCTGGGATGAATAATTTACATGACAGCACTTTAACTTTTGACTTAAATGGTTCACTTCTCCACAACTCCATCATCCTCTGCACATAGTGGTTATGTCCTTCCTAAACATCCATAAGAATGGCAAAACACATCTTTTTTTTTTTTTTACAGCCATAAAAAAAGCATGATTACCATTTTGCAACACGTAAGCCATTAGCCACCAGCGAACAGTGACACGCAGTGTGCTAACACATTAGTGCTCCTTGTTTACCTTCCTCAGTAGATGCCTATGAAGCCGTGGCTAAAAGATTACAGCAGGCCACACACCTTAAATCATAATCAATCCTAGTAATCAGAATGTCTTATCATTACATTTATGACATCCATGCTAAGTTGTTTGGTCTCTCTGGGTCTCGGCGAGTTTCTTGCCACATAAATGAGCCATAAAAGTGGGGTTGCTGGCGAAGATGTCTATCTTTATGCAGGTGTTATGACTAAGGCTCTTCAAGCCGCAACTTATTGTCCGATGACACTTCGCTGGCCCTCAGCAACAAGCAAAGTTCCAGGAAGCAACAACACTGGGTGTTGTTGTGTGTGTGTGTAACTGAAGGAAGAGGGGAGCAGGGGTTACAAAGTGTAATTAAGCAAATGGCTGCAGACAAATGAGTCTGGTTCCTCCACAGAGCTACAAAGATTATGGAGGCAGTGTAGCATCTGCAGTGTAGCACACTGTTACAGCCTTCATGAAGTGAATTGGGCTGCCATTCAAAATGCTTGATAGCAAAAAATATTGCTTAATGGTCCAGTGTTTAAGTAATAACATGGCAGAAATTAAACATATTAATCATAGGTATGATTTCATTAGTGTAAAATCAGCTGAAAAGGGGAATTGCTGTGTTTTGTGACCACTATAGTTTCTCCAACGCACTTGGAAGGCAAGGGTGAGGCGAGCAGTATTCAGTTGGTTGCAGTCTGTAATTTTTACTGCTTGATGCCACTAAATCCTACACACTGGACCTTTACTAATTTACTAATTTTAAGCACTTTGAACTCTTAGGAAGTCTAAGAGCCTCAACAGGAACTTAAAAAATACTTTACTTGTGAAACGAGAACAACAAGAGAAACCAGGGTCTAAATATTGTTCCTGAACCCCCAAAAAAGTATTTTCTCTGGAGACAGACTTTCCGATGGCCCACGAGTTTGCACTCACCGATCAAACACATCAAGTCGTGGGCTGCTACAGACTGAAAGCACTGAGTGTCACTAGAATCTATGTAAAGACACGTTCTTGTAAAGAATTAAAGAGATACAAAGATAACAAGTGAGTGCAGGAGAGACACAAAATATAATTTCTTATTTGATCCAATGCAGTTATATAGTAAAGAAATAAATGAAGGTAAAACACAGTTTGTCTTCTTCTGAGACTCTGCTCAAGGGCCTCCCTAGTTTCTCTGTGATCTGCACAACTACACCGCTAGATGCAACTAAATCCTACACACTGGACCTTTAAGTCGTAAAAATCAATAATTATTTCTCCCTTCCTCCAAAGGATGTTTAAGTACTGTGGGAAGGAGTGCACTCACTCTTGGGTTCATTCAGTGTGATGGACTCGATGAAGTTGAGCGGCGTCATGTAGAGCTGGCCCTCATACTCCACCGAACTGAACAGGCGAAATCTGTTTTCAAAGGACGACATGTACACGTCTCCATCATCCAGATCATAGGTCCTGGCCTGTAAACACACACACACACACACACACACACACACACACACCATCATGAAATACTGTGATAATACTGTCTGAAAGATGCTTTTTATGAAATCCATCGAAGCTTTTCTTGTCACGAAAAGCCTCGCTCACATGGAACAACAAAGAGGCCCAAGCTTTAATTCAGTAATGGGGCACATGTTATGTCAGTCCTATTTTTCATCCCTGTGCACCAGATAATGTCCCTACAACTGTTCAAACGCAGCCAGATCAGAAGGCTGGATTGGTGAAGACAGAGCGGATCTCTCTGTCAGGTGGCAAAGTGCCAGGTCCACTGGGCACAGAGCAAACACCCAGGGAATGTGTGCCCCCCTCTGCTTAACCATTAAACCCCCTCTAACCACCCCCCCGCCTCTCATCAAATGTCAGTCCCTCCGCCAAGTCCCAGTGTCCAGTTTCCTGTGTCCCTGGATTCCTGCTGCCCGTGGACACCAGTCAAGGTTTCCCTCCTATTGGAAACAAGTAATCTTCTGTAGCTTGGAAGTGCAAACCTGGTTTACATGTTTGTTTACATCTGCTGTGATCCATGAACATCTTGTCAACAATGTCAGTGAATGTCTGAGCTAAAGAGACTCGCTGTAGAAGTTCTGGTATGTAGGCTAATAGAGACTCATACACATTGTACGAGAGGGCAGGCAAAATAACTTCTGACAGAAAATTACAATAGTGCCGTAAAAACCTGCGTAAAGCAACAACAATCAACAACTCTGTTCCTGATCTTATTACTGATTAATCCATCATTGTTCTGGATTAATCAGTTTATGTGAAAAGTTTTAGTTCTAGTTTTCAAATGTTTTATGTCCAAATGTTCTTCGTGATGTGTTTCATGACGACCACGATGAAGGCCACAAGCCGAAGCCCATTGATCTCACAATAAAGTTGTTCTTTATTCTAACATTTTTATTCTGTTGCTGCAGTTTTATCACTATTTATCTTCTTCCTGAATTTTGGAAGTAGGTGACGTGTCAGAAATTCCTACTTTGTTTAAAACCATAAACTATAACTATAAAACAATATCAATCAGCGATCCATATAGTTGCCGATTAATCTTCTGTAGAATCATCTGATACTGTCTACCGGTTAAAGCTCCTCAAATGTGAGGAGTATAATTTATAATAATAAATTATTTAAAAATTTCAAAAAAATCAATAGAAAAATCTATTAAAAAAAAACACACATTAGTTGAAGTTCTTCTTATAATATTCAATTATGGTCGTTTTTGTAACAACAGCTTGTAAAAGAGCAGGAGCATTTTAAATCTGGCACCAAAAACAACAACAACAACAACAACAACAACCAAGTTTGGCCTCAAAATGTATCATCATAAAAAGATTCACATCGTTCCCAGCCACTTGTAATGGATTACAAGAGACAGTCAGGTGTTCCTGTTATTTTGTCCAGCCCCTAACAAATGCAAACACAACACAATGTACACATATTAAGAGATGTAAGTATTTATGCCTCATGCCTTTAGAGAAAAAAAAAAAACCCTCACTGATGGCAGCAATTGGGTCACGTGATCTATGAAGTGCCTTTTGACCATTTTCAGCACCAAAAGGTCGGGGATAGCTCCTTCTGGTGACGACACATTAACGTTACCGATGGTTTCCGTGCAACCATACGATGTAGAGGCTAATTGTGTTGGAAATACTACCTAAAGCTATTACAATAAGGGGAAAAAACGTTTAAATTGAAGCATTTTGAGCGACTGTAGGTGTGTTGGTTTGGTCACTAAAGCCCACGCGGCTTGACAACTGTACCTTATCGGTGGCAGAAACTGATGGCAACGCCAGATGAAAGAGTCGAGCCTCGACATGGCTCTTCAATCCGGTGCGCCTACCGACAGCCGGGTAGCAGTAATACGCAGCACCGACCCCCGCCGCCGTGACGCACGCTCCAGCCGCGATAACTTTAAGCGCTTTTGTCGCCTTCGAGGTTGTCGCTTGCGTCCACGTCCCTGTTGTTCTGGAGCTGTTAGAGAGTGACTGTACAAGCCTGCGCAGGGAAGCCATGTCTGTTTACACTAAGGTGTCGTAACCAGGGGGGGAAAGAGCTGCTGCTGCTCCGGAGCTCGCGAGAAATGCCGTCGGTATTTCAGGTCGCTCCGGGATTAAAGGGCGTGAGAGTGAAGGAAAAATGTTTAAATCTTTGCGTAAACACAGAAAGAACCACTGAATTATGTCTCATCTCTCGTGGGTTCATTTAAAGTCTCATTTTGTTTTTGTTTTTGTGTGTTTACAGATTTAATTTAAAGTGATGTAAGTGCTCAGTTTAACAACCCACAACCCACCACCAACTCTCTCCCTGTGTGTCTTTATTTTGTGCCTTGGGGAGAAGGAAAAAAAAAAATAAATCCCTGCCAGGGCACGTCTGAACTGTGACAGCCCCGCCCATTACTAGTCCTGTGGTTTTGCACCTGCCTCACCACCCCTGCCACTTTGAGCGCAAAAGCCCTTCCAGGAGCTTCTTGTACCTGCACTGCAGCGTTTATTCAGCCCTCACTTCTTCCACCCAACCTGCGCTGCGTGTCCCCCTCCACGGCTCCGCTGAGACACACCATCAACCATCCGCTGTTGGACAGGTATGCAACATGAGGGCGATCTGAGCAGCGACTGCAGCCCACCCCCAACTGATGAAGACGCAGCGGTAGAAAAAAAGAAAAGAAAAGAAGAAATCTGCGCAGCCAGCAGCAGCGGGAGATTATAGTGAGTGTTTCATGTCAGGGGAGAGAAATCCGCGCGTCCGCGTGTCCTTGTACATGTGCTAAGTAACGGAGGAGGTGGACATAAACATGCAGTAAGTGACAGTGGCAACCAGGTAGTGTACTACGCAAGAGCGCTCCCTCCGGACCTCCTCGCTGAACTTTACCCGCTGAGCTCTTGACGCGATGGCTGCTGCTGCCGCTGCCGCTCTGGGGGAAGTTGGAGGCGTCTTGCACGGCATCGATGGTGTCGCACAGGTCGGGTCCCATTTCCTGCTGACCCCACTCGGGGACAGTCCGACGCTGCTGGGGGAGCACCTCATATCTGGGGACAGGCTCTCCCGGAGCACCACGGCGGATTTAACGCACCTCAAAGGGATTCTCAGGAGGAGACAGTTATACTGCAGAACTGGTTTTCATCTGGAAATACTTCCGGATGGCACAGTGCAAGGCACGAGGAAGGACCACAGTCGTTTTGGTAAATACTGAGAGCTTTAAATATATATATATATATATATATATATATATGTATATAATTTGGTAGCAACAAATATAAGGCAATAGAAAGTGAACTGTTATAATAAAACAAATGGTTATCAAAATAAAAGGAAACACTGCTGACATAAAAATAACAATCTGATGATGTAATTGTTAAAATGTCTTAATTGTGCTGCTTTCAGAGCTGAATTTGAATTTTTGAGCTTCTGTGATAATATTCTTTCATCTTTGTCAAAGTCTGTACAGAACAACTGTGTTATTCTTCTCCAGGTATTTTGGAATTCATAAGCCTCGCTGTTGGGTTGATAAGCATTAGAGGAGTGGACAGTGGACTCTATCTGGGGATGAACGACAAAGGAGAGCTGTATGGCTCTGTAAGTACCATCTCTGCTCATTCATGTTGCCCAAATCCTTAATTTTTGACCATGTGATGATCCACAAGGAGCTCTTTTCATCTCTCAGATTTGGAGAATTTGATTTTCAGGAGGATATATTTAGAGAAATAATCATTTTTTTTTTTTTTTCTGTGTCTTGCATCTTGAGCCAAGGCGTCTCTAACATGTATGTTGCACCCTTTGTTTTCAGGATAAGCTCACAGCTGAATGTGTCTTCAGGGAGCAGTTTGAGGAGAACTGGTACAACACATACTCCTCCAACCTCTACAAGCACGGAGAAAAAGGGACGCGTTACTTTGTGGCATTGAATAAAGATGGGACACCAAGGGACGGGACTAAATCCAGGCGGCACCAGAAATTTACACACTTCTTGCCCAGGCCTGTGGACCCCGATCGTGTGCCAGAGCTGTACAGGGATATCCTGGGACACAGCTGAGACCTGGAGCCCTGGTCCAGTTCAGGAATAGCTGCTAAAGCCCTGGCAGGCAGGGAACAGAGAAGAGAAGAGGGACGCAAGGCATGGGGATGTGGCCCGGTGCAAGCTGGTGGACAGCAGCCCGACCAGCAGGGATAAAGGCACCGGGGGCCTCTTGTAGGAATGCACGGGCCATCTCTCAGCAGCCAGGGAAGACAGGCTAGAATGTCTGCACGCTCGGCATGAGGGGCTCGTTTGTTTTAGAGGCCGGATGACCCTAAAAAGTACCCGCGTGGAATAAGAGATGAATGGGAGACGGAGCTGAATGGTCAAGGGAGCATCTCCTCCGGTCGGACGGAGACGTCAGCCGACTCCGGGAGTCCATGGGAATCTGTACTATCCAGAAATGGTACTTTTAATTTGGGTACCGTGTCAGAGAGCCGTAGTTTGTTCAGAAGGACTTTGAAGGAATTCTGTTTATTTTTTCTTACCTGTGTCTAGACCTGTTTGAAAAGAGCAAAAGTGTAACAATTTATTTATTCATTTTAGATACATATATTTATGTTATATATTTATTTATTTGAGAATATATTTTTACAGTTAGATACATGCAATATAGAGAAACCACTAGAAACTGTATCGACTATATAAAGACTGAGACGCTGTACCATTATGTCTTTTTATTCTTAAAAAAAAGCTCAGCTAGTGATATACTGTAATATGACCACAAATATGAAACATATGGCAACATTTGGAAAAAGATCCCCACGTCTGAAATGCATTTTATCACAATATGGCAACTGTGAATCAATTTAAACAAAATGTTTGTAATGTTGACGTACTAATTCTAACTAAACTACTGTCACATGTGTTGCAGGAAGAATCTGAAGTCAACAAACTGATAATACAAACAATAAATTGCTCAAAATGTGATCAAAATGCTTTTTTTTTATTTTGTCAGCCTATATGAGCAGAGATGGAGATGTTTTATGTGTTCCCACGTTTTTGACAGAGCATTATTTAAATCTTTACTGGTTGCCTTTGTCTTTTCAGAGTTTAGACATATAAACCTGCTTACAAGACCAATGTTGTCTTTCTTTATGGACGCCATTATGCCGAGAGACAAGTCGTAGACCTGATGCACGCATAAAACTTCAAAGCCTCCCTCCCGAATCGTCTGAATGTAAAGGCCGCACAACGATCGGGGCCAAATAAAATGTGACCTTTAGCTCGGACTCAGCAACTTTAGCAGCTGTATAAGAGTGGAGGTCAGAGCGATAAGGATTAAGTAACCTCTGCTGACAGTTTGAAGATGGTTTGTTGAAATGTTACTAAATAATCAAAGTCAAGGTGGTGATGCTTTATTCTCTTGTCTCTCTGTGTTAGGAATGTTTTTACTGTCCCACCATTTTTAATAGCAGATGTGGAATTAGGAGTTACAAAGCAGCTGAATAACTGATTTATTCTTTAAAAGCCACTATCTCATATCTGTGCACAGTTTCCTCCATGGCTGGGGGAAGAGCTGTGTTGAAGCATGAAAGCTCAGCCTGTGATCTCAGCGAGCGCGTGTTTGTGTGTGTGATAGCGAGCCAGTGGGGGTGTCTCGATGCAGGGAGTCAACCCCGTTGCCAACTCTCTCCTGTCTACAGTGTGATACTGCGGGACTTTCCCACCTGCACACCTTGAACATCAACACGCTTCTGTCGTCGATTAATGACAGCATCCCAGAGTGTATTATAACCTGCGTGCACGTGGACATCCCCTGTCCACTGGGTAAACACACGCAAGCCTATTACAGCATGAAAAAAAGATTCTGGTGCTTGTTTTTGCAAAGATACTGTCACTGCTCATCTTTCTGTAGCTTCGTAGAAAAGTTAACAAGCGTGAAAATGATGGACAGGACGTCCTTCATGCATGTCCTATCCCATCTTTCCCAGCTAAAGAGTGTGTTGCCTCAATAGTTTGCCCATGACTTTGACCTGCTGCTTTTTTTTTGTCATTGCAATACCTCCAAAGAGACTAAAGTCTCAGTTGTGGCCATGAAAAGCCGACTTTGTGCAAATCTAAGAGCGTAACACCCTCCACCCCCCTTTTGACATTTTGAAGGTCATCTCTCTAAACACACTGGAAATCCTGACTTGTGATACCTGATGCCCAGAAGTGCTCTTTGGCACTTGTTTAACCGATGTTTTTGGAGACTACCTGGCCCAGAGACAGATGCTTTTGTTCCCCCCTACCCCGCCTCCTCCAGGTGGTCTGCGGCTCCTCGCTGAAAACACTTAAGCCCCTCATCCGCACCCACTCTGGAGGGCCGTCTCACACGCTTAATGGACGCTCCCTGACTTTCATCACCTCCTCAGCAGCGGCCTTACAGGGCTCTCGAGGAAACCCAATCAAGTGTATGCGCGTGCACGTGTGTGTGTGTGTGTGTGTGTGTGTATATGGCATGGGTCCATGGGCAGGTGTGGAAGTCAGTGATCTTCTGTGTCTATCTTCGCAGTCAAGTCAGACAGCGCAGGTGTTCCCTCAGCACTCAAGCTCTCACACTCTGATCTCAGGCCTGCTGTTTGTCAGCTGGGGATATAACTTAGCAGCAGGAGGAGGAGGGTGGAAATACAGCAGGCTTTGTTGTCTGCCCCCAATTATCAGAGAGCATAATTTCTATATTTAGAAGGCTGCGTTGGGGAAGACAGGGGAGGTGCCGAGAAGCTCACCTGTTGCTCCAAAGACGTGGCCACTTCTAAGAGTGTGTTTGCGCAGGGATGGTGTCTGCAGCTTTGTGTCATTTGAATCCTGCAACTATTGATTTCAGGCTCTTTGTTGTTTGTTTATTCCTTAGTAAATTGCCGTGCGCACAAATTATGAGCTGCATGTGTGTTTATAGGGATTACAGCAGAAGTGTAAGTATAGCGTTATCCACTTGATACTTTTGGGCTTTCATCAGAGTCCAGAGAGAGAGAAAGAGAGAGAGAGAGAGAGAGAGAGAGAGAGTGAGGCCCTCTAGAAAAACCTGCAGCCAGGGCTCCCAAATATCATCCATCCCTCCATCGTTCATGTTTTGTGGCCTGAAAAATCATCTTTTCACACTAGCAGCATTGTACCCCATTTTAGTTCAATCATTTTTAGTGTCATAGCTAAGAGGAGTTTGCGGTCTGCCTTCCGCAAGCGGCAATTAGAGCAGCATACCTGATTTTACTGACACTCCACATCGCAAGCTGTCAGCTCCAGTGGAAAATATGCTCCTCTGTTTGCATCTCCATGGAGACATAAGTAGAAAACAACAATGTTTAGGTGTTGTGGGGAACAAAAAAGAAGAAGCCAGGGCACTGTCATTTCTGCAGAGTTTAGGCGCACACAGTGAACAACGCTGCGGTGCATTTGCAGGCCCTGCCAGTGACTGACAGGGTTTTGTTTAACTAAAGGGATCTGAACACGCAGTACCTGGAGGAGGCTGAGGGCTGAAGAATCCGCGCTGGTACAACAACAACACACAGCTGCCATCTGTGGCATCTAACACAGCACACAGAGACAGGTCGACCAGAGGTAAATGGGATATGGTTGGATGACATGTGACACATTTAGCCCGGGAACAGGGTTCTCGCAGTGTTTTGCTTAAAATTGAACATTGTTTTTGGTTGATAAAACATAATACTCAAGAATATTACATATATTAGTTAGTAAGTTAGTTAGGCCACACTATAATATACTCTCATAGACAGTCATAAGAGGTAGTGGTTGAAAATAATTGAGTACATTTACTCAAATACTGCACTTAAGTACCTATTTGAGGTATTTGTACTTGGATGTTCCTTTTTGTGCCACTTGATTCTACATTACAGATAAATATATTATACTTTCCACTCCAACACAATGATTTGACAGGTGTAGCTGCTTTTCATGGTGTTAAAAACAAAAACTTATGGTCCTTTTAATATAATATGCTTCAGTGTTATAGATTAAACTACCAAACAGTAAAGTAGCTCAAATTAGCTCCACTTCAACCTACAACACTGAAATACTGTTTGCTTTAATAGATTTTTTTATTTTGGAGCAAAACAAGCAGTAATACATCATTGACATATAAAGTTGTTGTAGCAAACAACTGCTTATTCCAGCAGAAACGGAGCAACATTAGCATTTATTTGGAGAAAGATTAAGCCAAAACAATCAGAAAGATTCATATAGAGCTGAGTGGAACTGTTGAGTAGGGTGATAAAATCTTTCTGGGTTTGTCGAGTGACTCCTTTTACATTACACACATAATACATAAGAATATTGATCAATTCAGCCGTAACGCATCTGTAATACAATCTATAATAATATGATCTGCATACTAAGTACTTTTACTTATGATAGTTCAGTACATTTTGCACATTAAAGTACGAGACTCTTACTCTTAACAAAGTATTTTACCATCATTGTATTTCTACCTTTAAACCCCTGCTGCTGTAACCCCCCAGCCCCTAACATCTGCTGACCAAACCAGTGTGCGAGTCCCTCCGGAGCAGCCGTGTCACCCCTTCCTCTGGCCCATGTGTCCACATTACAGAGTCACAAATTAGGTCTTGACATTTGGGCGCTATAATTGCCCCCTGAAAAGCATGAGGCATCAATTAGGCTCTCAGCACCATGACAGGTTATCCCTACAGGACATAATCGCCCTGCTGGACCGGTCGGCTGGACTGCCCCGCCAGGGCACACACACACACACACACACACACACACACACACACACACACACACACACACACACACACACAATCATTCACAGAGTTTAAAGTTCACCGATTCATTTTTGGCAGCAATGAAGCCAAGATAGGCCACAAATGTGCCAACATGTTCTATAAATAGTTTGATTTTCTCATTATAAAATTAAATCTGAATTTTGAAATGATAGCATTGTGACAATAATGTGTGTGTGGAGGCCATGCAGGAGGAGTGGCAGTAGGTCTCAGGGTGCCGCTGCACTAATAACAGCATAGATCCCTTTGATTTCCCGACTCTGGTGCGACCTGACAGTTTCTGCTCCCACAGGGCGTGGAGATCTTTAGGGTCAGAAAAAAAGGTCAATTGGTTCATTTCCATAGCTTCTACTTTAAACATTCTTGGAGGCTTTGGAAGCAATTCAATCAGCAGTGAAAACACTGGTTAGCAGCCGTCGTTAACGATGCAGCATACTCATAAACAAGATGGATGTATCCCACAGAGAAATACAACATAAACTGTGTGCAGCTCTGCAAGATTTAGAGATATGAGTTGGATGTGTTTCAGTGCTGAAAGATATTAGATTTAATGGATTTAATATTTACTTAGGAGATTGAGCATAATTGAAAAATAGCTTGGAACATTATGAACATAATGTGATGAGTGATGAGGACTTGCAATTATCTTTTTAACGTTTCTTGTTGTTTGGGGAGATGACAGATATATGAATGTTTCATATACCGGCTTTATAAAGGACAAATAGACATAATGATCAGACACTCCAGGATTTTTTTCCACTATTCTTGTGGTCTAAAATGTCTGATTTCATAGCAGTTTTTCTCAAAAGCTATGATGCATGTTGCGATGATTTATTGTATTGAAATTGCGTGAGAAAGCTTCATTTGCAATAATAGTTCCCTTTTTTTGTACAATTGATAAAAGAAGTCGAATGCAACTTGTTCCAGTGAGAACAAAATGGCTATTAGTTTGGGGAAACTTGAAGATCAAATTTGCGGAAAAGTTGTAGTGTTTGGACAAAATTCTCCTCTCTAATACAGAAGATATTATTCCTGGGGTCCACACAACATATACACAGACACATTCTCATTTACAGTCAAAACTATGACCGATATCACACAAAACAAAGAAATATCACACAAAAGCAACACACTTTTACTACTACTAAAATCATTAAACTGGTGAGGACCATGAAATTGAAAAGTGGTTTGACTGTA